TCATATTTGCATTTTTATTTATTTTCATGAAAATGTTGGGGTTAGTTTCTAAATAATTTTAATTTTATTTATTTATTTCCAATGAGTATGAATTTTATTCTTTTTTAATATAATGAACAATATAGTACATACTAAGGATTAACATAATAAATAGCCTGGAAAAAGAAAAAAAATGAATGATTAAAATGAGCATTGTTATCTATCTATCTATTCTTCTGACAACATTTCTAAAAGTAAAAGTGAGGTTGATTCCTTGCTTGCTTTTTCCTCGGCAAAAGCCCAAAATAAAGTTCAATTAATTTATATGAAAATTACCTACCATTTATTTGTTCGTGTATATTATTGCGAAGTACATGAAGCAATGTCATATTATGAAAAAATCTATTTTGTTTGTATAACTAAAATTATTCCCCAACTTTGAATGTTATAACACTTTCACCCTCATGATGTCAAATTGAACATAATCTTCTACATTCCGTAGAATGTTCTCTAGTCCGTACTCGTTTTGCTCAATAATGCAGTTTCTGATGCAATACAATATGATATTTATATGATTATCTTGTTTCAAAACGTGGAGCTCGAATGAGGTAAAACGAGAACAAACTGAAGAATATTTAATATAATATAGAAGATTCCGCTAAATTTAACACTGCAAGGGTTGACGTGCAAGAAAATTCATAGTTGAGGGGTGGTTATAATTATTCAAACATGAGGAATTATTTTCGTAATTTAACATTACCTGGGGTGGGTGGCTGTAATTTGCCCTATTTATTTTTAGCTCAAATTTTAGAGTAAATTACAACCACTTCCCTGAAGTAAAGTGTAGTTACAAAAAAAAACCCTTCATTTTTAGAAATTACATCCAACGCCATATAGTTTGTAAATTTCTTACATTGACCCCTACTATTATAACGGGATTGATGTAATTAGGGGTGGTAAACGAGCCGAGTCGACTCGTGAGCTCGACGAGCCGGCTCGTAAAAAACTCGAACTCGGACTCGAGGTTTTCGAGCTCGAGCTTTCTGACGAGCCGAGCTCGAGCCGAATTTTAGTTGTTCATCCGCTCGCGAGCCGAATTTATTATTATTTTTTTATTATTTTTTTATTTTTTATATGTTATTTTTATTTAAATAATGTATAATAATTTAAAATATTATAGAAATAAATACAAATGAAAAAAATATATAATCACAATTTAGTTTTTATTTTGTATTTTCTTAAAATACTTTTTAATAATAAAATAATAATTAAAAAATATTAAAAAAAAAAGAGAGAGATTGGGCTCGATCTCGAGCTCGAGCTCGACAAAATTAACACGAGCTCGAGCTCGAGCCAAAAAAAGAAGAACTCGACGAGCTCGAGCTCGACAAAATAGACTCGAGCTCGAGCTCGAGCCAAAAGAAGCAATTTCGGCTCGTTTACACCCCTAGATGTAATTATAAAAAAAAATGAAGAATTTCTTCGTAAATTAACATAGGTATGCATGTTAAAAAAGGTAAGCTACTAAGCTCCTTTTTTAATAAGAAATCTCAAAATTCCCATTTTACCAAGAATTCATGTTTTCTCTATATAATCAGTAATTTGGTTAAAAAAGAATTATTAATTATTGAATTTCTAAAAAATAAATAATTTAGGAAAAAAATTTCAGTGAATCAAAAGCGAGTGTAAGCAAATATTAACAAATATTCTTTTTTGTATTTATTCAATTTTGTAATTCCAAAAGATGCACGCCGACAGTGTGACCAGTGTATCCTCATTCCTAACCATATCCCTTGTATAAAGTACCAATCTCTAATATTCAGTTTTAGCGTACATTAAAGGGTTAAATACACTTTGCACTCCTAAAGTATAGCCCATGTACACTTACCCCCTCAAGCACCATTTAATATGTAAGGCAAATTACAGCAGTAATGTCAAATTACGAAAATCCGTCATGTTTGGATAATTACAGTCACCCCCTCAACTATGTATCATCTTACGAAAAATCCCCTCCAGATGTAAATTCAGGGATGTTAATTCGTCAAAAAACCGAACCGAAATTACCCAAACAAGAGGGGTTCGTAATTTGACCTCACCTCAGGGATGTGGCCGTAATTTTTCCTAATATATATCTTAAATTTTGAGAAAAAATAATATCCTTAAAATTTATCATTTTCCTTATTTGGAAAAATAATTCAATTAATGTATCGAAAATAAAAATTGAAGCATCAAACCAAAATTTTAAATGTAAAATGTTATTTTGAGTTAGAAACAAAAATAATATAAAAATCTAATTATTGGAGCAAACAAAACCGAAAAGTAACAGAGCATAAAATTTACGTTGTGAACCAAGCTAGTTTTTTATGAAGTAAATAAAAAATAGAGTAAAAAGCAGTTTGCATCCTAAACTAAGGGTCGATTTGCACTTTACCCCCCAAACAAATTTTTTTAGCACGTTTTTACCTAAACTACGTTTTTCGTTGCACGGTGCCCCCTAAACTCAATTTTCCGGCAATTTTAACCGGAATGTTAAAACATGTGCTTTGCACGTGAGATTTTGAGGGGTAAATTTGTCCCTTCACTTGCATCTTTAATATTAAATACAAATAAATATTAAAAAAAAAAAAAAAAAAAAAAAAAAGAATAAATAAATAAATGAAAAAGAAGCTGTCATCCACATCATTAAAAAAACCAAAAAAAAAAAAAGCCCACACCATCATCATCTCTTCTTCTCGTCTCTATCGTCTCTCCTCTCTTCTTCATCTTCTTCCCTTCTTTTATTTTTCTGAACAAATTTTCTCCAAATGTTCATTAATGGAGAAAACGTTTATACATACTCACCCAAAAGGAAGCCGATTGTAACCTTTAAAACGCGGCCCCTTCATTTCCTAATGGGCTCCTCACGCCGGCATCAATAACCTGACCGCCGGTGAATTCCTCCACTAATACTCCTCACACAATTAATCACCAACAATAATAAATAATAAATACATTTATGTAATTTTCTCGAACAGATAGAATATTTTTATGACAAATTAATTAATAATTAGTAACGGTTAAAAGAGAAGGAAATCTCTGTGCAAGAAATAGAAGAGCAGATTTATTTCATTTTCGTCACACAATTATCACCATTTTCCGGTAAGCTACTGCCGCCAATTCCTCCATCTTCAATCCCACACTACACGCTCAGAGATTTCAGTAATTTCTTCGAAACAGGTAGAATTTGAATTTTGTTTTCATCGTTTTTCGTTTCTATTTTACATATATAAATCCACAATTTTGGGTTTTTGGTAGCAGGAACCGCCCATTTTGGTAATTGGAGTTTGTATGACGAGCGCATCGGAGCTGTTCTACAGCCGGAGGTCTCGATTCGGTCGGAATTCGGATCCTTTCGGTGTCGGGGCGGATTTGGATTCTCCTCCGCCTCCCGATCGGACCAATCGCCGCACTCGCCATTTCAACAGTCCCGGCGGCAGTCACGCTCGCCGCGATTGGCTCGAGCCCGACGGATGCGATCCTTTCCGACGGTCGATTCACCAGCTCAGGCAAACCCCACACCGCCGTCCTTCACATCCACCTCAAGTGAGAATCCTATATTCGGATGTTGAAGGTGAAATCCCTGCTGCAAATTCACCCCAATTTCATCAAATTCATAAATCTTGAAAACTTATATTCGGAAGTTGAAGGTGGAAAGTGGGTTTCAACTAAGGAAGCATTTCTTGTCCAGTTGAGAATACCTATTATTTCTTTGCCAGGTTACTGACTTTAGGAAGACGATGATAATTTCCCTTTTCTCTTTTTTTTTTGTTTATTTATTTTTAATGATTTATTTATATTTAATATATAGCAGTTAAGTGGATTGACGAATTTACCCCCATAAATCTCACGTGAAACGCACATTATTTAACATTCCGTTCAAAATTGCCGGAAAATTGAGTTTAGGGTGCACCGTGCAACGAAAAACGTAGTTTAGGTAAAAACGTGCAAAAAATTTTTGTTTGGGGGGTAAAGTGCAAAACAGCCCTTAATTTAGGGGGTAAAGTGCTTTTTACTCATAAAAAATATTACTTAATATTTAATTGAATAATCATTAATATTGCGGACGGCCGGATATTGAAGAAGAAGCTATGTTGATCATAAATATATGTATATATAAAATAATGGAAAAAAATAGCAGTAATCTAACTTATTTAAAAATATACTAATTCATTGATTCTTTAATAAATATAGATATATTATTTTTTAGTTCTTTTGTCATATTTTAAGAGATAAAAGAGGGGAAAAAATTCAATAATGTTATTTTATTTAAAAATTTAAGATACAAATTAAATAGTGCTCCAGGGACAATTGTTACAAATGAACTTAAGAGATAAGGGTTACATCTGCTATACTTTAATCGTAAAAAAATGTATATAAACCTAAAAAAAAGTTTTACTTGAGAAGAGGTTACCAATAATTCTTTTTTTCTTAATGCATTAAATTATTCCGTCACGACATCCTTATTTTTATATTTTTGCACCAAAAGGCGAATCCCTCGCCCTCAGGGCCCCCATCCCTTGGCCCGACAAGGATTGATGGAGGATGTAAATCATGGTAACTCAACGGCCCGTTAAGGTAGCGGACCCGGACCTGGTGCCCACAAGGAACCAACCCTCATTTGGAGTTGAAATTCCCACACTGCGGCTGCCAGGATTCGATCCTAGGACCTTGCACCAACTTACCACCTCCGGAACCAGTTGAGCTACACCCATGCGGGCTTATTTTTATATTTTTAACTTTATGGTATAATGATTGAACTATTTAATGATCTTATTTATTTTTTATTTTTTGTTTTTTTAAATTGTAAAAATGACAACATAAAATCAAAATTAAATAATAATGAATTACTTGTTTTTTATCGATTTTTTTTTTAATTTAGAGTAATAATTTACAAATGAATAGCTAAAATTATTAACCCAAAATAAATAAATGAATCTGATTGAATAATTTAGTTTGTTTGGATAAAGGTAGTCAAACAGGGTTGACTGACATGAGAATTATTACTCCGAGGTCCTTTTGATCTGCATTATTAATCATTGTACCACTGCTTTTCATTATTTAATTTAATTACATACTAATTACTTAATACCGTTTCTTGCATTATCTCTATCAATTTGTGGGGGCCAAACAGATCATAATACACAGACTCTGACAATAACTGATCGAGAGCGGAGGCTGTAAAATGACAAATGTACCCCTCTCCGAGAAACAAGAAGAAAACGACTGTATAGTGGGAGGCTAGTTTGCCAGTGCATGCTTCTTTAGTCTATGTACCTAATTTTGGCCTAAAATTTGTTTTATGAACATTTAATTAAACTTTAGCAATTGTCCTTTTCATGTTCCCTGTGGGTGATTTCCTGCCCATAGGGCTAAATTAGTCATTTTAACAGTCACCACCAAGATTAAATTACGAAAAAACATATTATAATGAGAAACTAATCTAGGATGTAGATAATTATATTTAATAAATTAAACGAGCCGAGTTAATATATATGATCATGTGATTAATGTATACATAAGCATAGGGATGTAAACGAGCCGAATTCGGCTGTTGTCGCAAGTTTGAATCCATTTTGACGAGTTCGAGCTCGAACCCGAGCTCTTCGAGTATTTGCTTTTTGGGCTCGACAAAAAAAAACAAAAAAAAAAAACAAAATTTACGAGCTCACGAACAACTAAGAATGAGTTCGGTTTCGAATCGTCAGAAAACTCGAGATGGGGCTCGAAAAACTCGAGTTCTAGCTTTCGTCGAGCTGACTCACCTCATTTACACCCTACGTAAAGCATGCGGATATTTTGAAGCGAAATATGTTAGGTATAATTTGATGATGTGATTATGGAGAATGATAGCTTCTCATCTAAATGGTGTGTCCATTGTCCATGCAAATCATAACATATTTTCTTCCTTTTTCATCATACCTCACATTTAATGTGTGACATAATTATGTAATGTTATCCATTTTTGGTGAAATTAAATACCATTTTTCAATATAGATCAAAGTTACATATCTATATATGATGCCTTTAAATTGAACAAAATGATAGGCGGGACTAGAGGGAAAATGTGGCATATATTCGAAATTGTAATGATAATTAACTTTATCATATTTTTTTTAATGATTTATTTAATATAAAAAAGTTGGAAGAAATTAATTAAGGAGAGTGCAAGGCATGATCTTCCATGATACGGTGCCGTATCTATAAGACAACAGTCTTAATTGAGTTTGACTTCGATTACATTGACATTGTTGCAACTAAGTTTGTTGTATTATTTTAATGCAATTGCATGGAGATTATTTATTTTGTCTTGTAATTAATTAGTAATATATATAATTTATTATCTTAATTAGCTATAAATTTTCTTGAAGATTCTGTAAATAGCATGTGCACACCTATATATTATTTCTTCATATAAATTGGTTAGGGTCACACAATTCAATGATTTGTATTTTGTATTATCATCCCACAAGGGTTGCTCATTTTCTTAATTTAAACAAACCTTATCAAACAATATTATCTTATACATATTAACAATATTGAAATACGAGATAAAAAAAAAACATCATTTTACGAAGAAAAATAAAAAAACTTGTGAATGAAAACTTATTATTGGGGTAAATTGACAAGATTCCAAATTAAATGATGCACAAACCAACACTACATTATTATGCTAACGTAAGCCAAAACAACCAATTCGTAACAAAATGGTAGCCATACATGTAATTCAAGATGCGTGACAAGGTCCATTTTTTGTTTTATTTTTATTTATTATTATTTGTTTATCAAAATAATGCAAGAAGAACTACTAAATATTAATATAGTTGTGGTCCAAATTATGGGCATATGGTAATAAGAGGGGTTAGGGCTTGGGGGTGGGTGGGGAAGTGTGTGTGTGTGAGTGTGTGTGTGTTGTGACCACTTTCATTTTCACCAATGTAGGGTGTGCAAGAAACCAAGAAAACATGGGGCTTGCCAACTAACTACATATGACAACGAGGGTGGTCTACAAAAAAATATGTATGTATATTTTAGAGCTATCAAAATTTAATGGTATGTGTTGAATGATGAAATGGTCATTCGATTTGGTATCAGAGAATATTTTAACAACAAAATATCGGTAAAAACAAAATGAAAATAATTATGAATTTTAGTTGAGAATATCTGCGATTAAAACATACTATATCTATAATATAGTTTTGAACTTTCTTACGAGTTATTTTTTCATAAATTTGGATAATACGTTAGGTATTGTTGTAGAAAATCTAAGAATTGTGAAACTTTTCGAGAGAATCTGGGAATAGGTGGGCTAGAAATGTAGAAAAGGAGAAAATGGTTTCGGATTTATGGGAAAACTGGGTTCTATTCGGTCCACATAACCGTTTGAGCCGTTGGTATTAAATTTAAGACTTGGCCCCAAGCCCAAATCCAATCCGAGCCGAGCCAGCCGCGTTAGTGTGGTCATGAGTCGAAGCTCACAACAAATTAAGAATTTAATATATTTGCTGATATTCTTTTTGTTGCACAAATCCTGCACCAGACTTGAATTCCTCAATAACTTGTCGATACCAAAAAAAAATATCTCCTCTTCAATAACTTGCTAATCAAATAACAGCTCATTAATCCAAAATTAAATGGTCCCCAACAAAAGACATCATAAAATCACCTTAAAAAAAGTTGTAATAATAAAGAAAATCAAGAATGTGCAGTTTGTGAGGCGGCGAGAAAGACGGAACCAGCACCAGAGCCTCCATGACAATGGTGAATCATCACATTATCCGAAAACTCGTTCCCCACCATTTCCCACACGCTGCTCTGCACATAGTTTCTATATATTCTATAACGCTCGTACATCCCTCCTTCTACAATAATCACACTCTTCCTGTTTTCGATCCTTCCCATTTTTTTAACAGACCCCACAATCCCAGCTCCAACTAGGCGGGCCCCACGCTCCGCTACAACGTCGCAAATTTCCGTCACTATTTCTCTCACCATCGGTGTCGAATTGTTTATCTGAAAGACGATTGTACATAATTGAGTTAGTGTAGAAAAAAAATTAATTAGTGAGAAATATAATAAAGCGTATATGTATATATACATCGAAAATTTCGTTTAGTTTCTCTTGTACTACTTCGTAATCCTCTGATGTGTCTTGGTGCATTGCAGCCATATCTGGTGACCTGTTATGAAAGAAAATATCAGATAATTGGATAAACAAATTATAATCATTAATAATACCTTAGTTTATGGAAAAATTCTCTTACCTTAATAAGTAAGGAATAGTTAGTTTAGGAGGCACAGAATCGCCGAATAAGGCCGCTTCGTGGGCCATCTTAAGTAATACCCTTCTTACAATCTCTCCTAAATACATGCCTGAAATAAGCTTCTCAAATATCTGCTCCAAATGAATATTCAACATTAAATATATGTGTGTGTGTGTGTGTATATATATATTGAAACAAATAGTATGAATTAAGGCTAATGATTTTTTTAAAGTTTTTTTACCCGGGCTCCAGGGTCAATGCTTTCAGCATCTAAGGATGTATCGTACTCTGTCAATGGGAGATGAGAGGAACTGAAATTTCCCCATTGCATATTAATAACCTGTTAATTAACCAACAACGTTTTAATTACTGATTAATTTTTGATGGAGTAAATAGAGTGGCGAGTAATAGGTTGTTATATTACTGTTTCATTGGATTTTGATGAATCTTTTACTGGGCTTGAAATTTGTTGAGGACATTCGATGTAGGCGATATCTGTGCCACCGATTCCTAAAGTCACTGCAGCCACACTTTCTTTGCTGTAATATCTTCCTCCGGCCAAATCACCAATAGTATCATTCACCTGAAATATTTAATTTACTCCAATATTCATTTAATCATAATGTAAATTTTCATTTTTTTTTCAAGAGTAATTCTGTAAATAAATTGGAGAGGAAAAAAAAAACAACACTTAGAAAAAGATCATGCTTACAACTTCAGAAACGCGCAAGTAGTCTAGCCCGAGCTTTTCCAATGCCTGGTTAACTTCAGTTGCTAATTCCTTCCGAGCCTGATTAATTTGCACATAATTAACTAATAATCACATTGTAACGTGAACATGAATTTGGAGCAATTAAGATAATTTAAGAAGAGAAATTACGACGACTCAACTGCGTCGTTGAAGGGTAAATTGGTCCATTTGATGGCGATGGCAGCAGACGGTGGAGCTTGATGATCTACTGGAAATGATGATACTGTAAATCCCAGTTTTGATCTTTTTACTGTTTCACCCTTGTTATTATCTGTGCTCTCACTGTGTACTGAAATAAATTTCGCCAGCTCAAAGGCAATCAAATCACATAATTCCTGATCATACATATTATACGAACTTGAATTAGAACAGGACTACTGAAGCATACATACACATACACATATACATGTGTATATATACAATCATGTATACATATATACCTTGGAAGATTCAGCATCAGCCATTAGAGACGGAGGAATCGGAACCTCTTGTTTGAGTAGTTGATTGAGTGGTTCGTTTTTGCCATCAAGTGTTGCTCTTACTATAACAAAATTCGTTGCTCTCAGATTTATCCCATAATATGTTCCTTTCTCTTCTCTACAAATTGTCATTTCAATGGAAAAAATCGAGTCATATTCTTGAATAACAAAAGGATTAAACTTGTTTTATAATGATTTTTGAATTGATCCACTTCAAGATAATTTCAAACACATCTCTGCAACATTTTACAAAAATAAATTAAAAATAAATTTTATTTGCAAACACTACAATCTCTAAATTAGCTGACTAAAGTCGATTTTTGTAGCGAACATATGTAAGCACCTCCGATTCACTCGAAATTTTACTTCAATCCACCAAGTAAATGCCAATGCATTTTTAAGCCTAAAAGAGCTAATGCTGAGATATTTTGACAATATAATTTAAAAACAAACAAAAATTGGTCAGAACCTAATCGTCTAATCAAAATTGAGTAATTACGATCAATGACAATTTGTATGTATAGATTATATATCTATAGTACGTACCCTGTGGGAAGTGGTGCGGCGTAAGAGACAAGCATGCGGAGGTTGCCGCCTCTCTCGCCGGAGGAAAGGCCGGCTTCCATTTCGGCGGCCAATTCATCGGCGACATGCCAAAGCTTCGCCGCCGGAGTGGCGCAGCGCCGCGCGAAATTGCGAAGGATCCTCTGCGCGTGCCTCAACCGCCGCTCGCTGCGCTGTCTCCAGTGCCTCAACAGTAAAGCTACGCCGACCACTGCCGCTGCCGTTGTCACGGCCGCCGCCACCACCACCTCGTTTCTCATCTTCGCGATTTGGGCAATTTGCTTTTTTTCACCTTTACATTGACATCGATTTCTGATTAGTTCATCAATTTAATCTCCTTCAGCCTTTGTCATTTTCGAGTGCATAGCAAAAAGGTAGTGAGTGTAGAAACAGAAACAGAAACAGCGACATTTGTGAACAGAAGAATGAGATCCGAGTTTGAAGGCTTGATCCATTTTTATGGCTCTGTAGTGGGTGAAAGTGCAGTTACAACCCTCGTTGACGAAAAAACCCTCCTTTCTTACATGTCTATCATTATTGTGTCAAATTCAACATAATCTTTTAGATTCCGTGGTATGTTCTCTAACTTGTACTCATTTTGTGTAAAATTGCAGTTTTGGAGCGACTTCGGACTGAATGACAATGCTGTCGCCGCTAACATTCACCTCGTCGTCGTCGTACTCTCAATCTCTCGACAATAATTTGATCAAGCTGACTAGGTATCATTCTCACGAGCAGGCTAGGTATATTTTACTTCTTATTCCTACTTAGATTCCGTGATATGTATTCTAACTTAAACTCGTTTTGTGCAAAAATACAGTTTTTGATGTATCACAATCTGATATTTACAAATCAAGAGACACATCATGTGATCATCTTGTATCAAAATGTGAAGTTCAAATGGGATAAAACGAGTACAAATTGGAGAATATTCCACTAAATTTGTAACCGCAAGGATGGACGTGTAACCAAATTCATAATTGATGGAATAGTTGTAATTACTCAAACAATAGGGGATTTTTCGTAATTTAACTTTACCTCATGAATGCCGTAACTTACCCTTTATTTATTTTTTTGTAATTCTTTTTATTTTTTTTCAATTTTCATATTTCTTCCCGTTGACTGTATTTGTATCTTTCTAAAGGCCAAATATATTGGAAAATTTAAAAAAATTGAAAAATAATATACAAAAGTCTCACAGTCATCATTCAAATTAATTTATCAAGAACTGTGATGAAACATATGCATCATCAATTCACCATATTAATCTTCTAGCAACAGAGCTCCAAAAATAAGTTATACCGAATAAAATAATTATCAATCAATCCTCGTCTTGGGTCCAAATCTTGACCGTGTTGTCATTTCCGAGTGCACCGGATGCTATCATGTTTTCGGTGGGGTGACATGATACTGATAGCACTGCATCTGTATGACCTTCGAGCTTTTGAACTATTTTCCGAGACTGCAACTCCCATAGGTAAACGCAGTTATCTTCCGATCCACTCACAATGTATTTCCCGTTTGTTACGGAGAATGTCGAAGAGATGCAGTACTTGGAGTTTGTGTGGCCCGTGTAAGTTTTCAGAAATGTTCCGGTCGAAAAATTCCAGAGCCTCTGAAAAGAGATTATAAAACATTCAAGAATGAGTACGATTTTGAACATTGAAACCAGATTAGAACTAGAAGTAAATAAAAGGAGGCACCGAAATCAATCAGGAAATTGCACCAAAAGTCGTGCAAGAAAGTGAAGAATAATTATCTCAACTCAAACAAGCAAATCCAAATGCAAAATTGGGATAATTGAAGGTGAATCGCTATATTATCTGATTTGTATTAGAGTAGCGAAAGTGCAGAGCAGCGAACTATTCCAACCAATGAAATTTCAAAGATGTTATTTCAAACTAACTTTCAAGACAGATAAAATGAATAACAGAGCAAAAATAAAACATCCACCTTTTAAGTTCATTCCCCTTGTAGCACTCACATCCAATTCGACTGATATGGTTTTATTAATATCAAACAAATGTTTGATTTTTCCGAAAATATTTTGAGAAGATACCCAGAGGAGATGAATGGAAATCGAGGTAGCTAAGTTTGACTAATTGAGTTCATATGCGGATCAACTCATTTAGATATCACGAAGACATTATCGACAGATCTAAGTAGTATGTGGAAGCAAAATAAAATAAGAGCATATGGGAACCGTAAACATCATCAGCATAAAGTTAGAAATACAAATATTTAGTAGTAATTCAGTTGCTAAACCGATATCGAGACTATTGTGATACAGGAGGATGAATATTATAGATAGTTTGTCGCATGGACAGAGCTAATGCGAACTTTGCAGATAGTACAAACGCTGCCGAACTAAAACATCAAATGAATCGTTAAACAATTGAAAGTGAAATAAAAGACGACTCTTTTAAATCATTGTTACACTGTGACCCATTGTTACACTGTGACCAAACAATCAAAGCCTCCTTTCGCAACATAGTTTTACACTATATGCAGAACTCACACATTCTTAGCTCTCTAAGTACGGAAGTAACGTATGTTAGCTCTCTAAGTGCACCACTCACATCATTCATAAACTTTCATTCAAAGTAACAAATAATACAGAGTATACATTCACAATTTCATGTATCGGATCCAAAATTAATCTTTTATAATTGATCATACAGCTGAGTTTTTAGCACTTACAATTGATATATATTTTATTCAAATCAATGAAGCACATGATATTACACCTATTTTTGACAATGGATACATTATTCTTTTTATGATCGATTCACAACACTAGATCAAAGATAAATAAAACAAGTAAGATTAGATAAAGATTTAAACTTTAATCAAAGGTGGAAAGAGAGATAGTAAGAAAGAGAAACTAACCAGATTATTATCGAGAGTACCAACAAGAATAAATTTCCCGTTGGGCGAGAACTTGACGAAGCTAACAGGCGGATGCTCGTCGTCGATGAGAGTCTTCATGCAATGGCCGGTCGAGGAATCCCAAATTCTGCAAAGACCATCGTAGCTGCTCGAAACAATGAGCGAGCCGTCGAGATTGAAATTGACGGCGGTTACGGGGTCCGAGTGGGCGGGGAGCACCTTCAGGCATTTACCGGACTTGACATCCCAAATGCGTACGGTCTCGTCGAACGAACCGGAGGCGAGCATATTCGATTGGGGGTTGAAACTGACGCAGAAGACGTAGTTTGTGTGGCCGGTGAGGGTTTTTATGAGGGCTCCGGTGGAGACGTCCCACAGGCGGACGGTGCGGTCGTCGGAGGCGGTGGCGAGAAGGCGGCCGTCGGAGGAGAAGGCGAGGTCGGAGATGCCGGATTCGTGGCCGTGGAATTCGTTGTGCGTGGCGGCGTCCGGGGAGGATAGGGAGTAGGTGCGCGCGGTCTTGTCGGCGGAGCAGGAGGCGAGGAGGTGGCCGTCGTCGGAGAATTTGACGCCGGAGACGTCGTGCTTGTGGCCGGTGAGATTGTGCTTGAGCTTATAGGGTTTGAAGGATTCCGATTTTTCCGTTGTTGAAGCCATTGCTGCTTTGTCTATTAACGGTTGCTCTCTATTGAGTTTCCCTTCGGCGAGAATTGAACAAGGGTTCCGGTGGGGGTTTTAGCCTCCGTTCCGTGATACAGATTACTGAACTTGTGGAAATTGTATTTAATTAATTATTCACTGTGCACCCAAATTGTATTTAATAAATTATTTATAGTGGTTGGTTTTTTTTTTTTTTTTTTTTTTTTTTTTTTATATATAGAGTCCAAATTTTAATGGAAAAATTGCTAACAAAGCATGATTTTGCTATAGAGATATTATTTCTTTTATTTTGATAAATCAATACTTTATAGTAAATTATTAATTTATGTACAGTATATTATTCAATAAATATATTACTCTTCAACTCTACAATTACTCACAATCGAGCTTATTAATTGGGTATTATATTTTATAGTAAATTACGAGTCTTCTTAGATGTATATTCTTGCGGTGTCAAAATTTAGTGTAATCTTCTAAATTATATGCAATATTTTCAAGTTTGAACCCATTTTATTCCATTCGACCTCCACATTTTAAAGTAAGATGGTCATACAATGTCTTTTGGTCATACGTCTTAGCTTCTACATATCAGATTGTAGTGAATCAGAAACTGCATTTTTACAAAAAAAAAAAAATACAAACTAGAGAATATTTTGCGGAATCAAGAAGATTATGTTGAATTTGACACCATAACGGTGAACATGTAAGCAGATTCATAGTTGAGGAGGGTAAGTGTAATTACCCTTACAGAAGGGTTTCTTTTGTAATTGACCAAACCTCAGGAGTGTGACCGTAATTTACCCTATATTTTATTTATAGTGCAAAAAATAAATTCCTCAGAATGAAGAGCAATGGCATGTAGTGGTTTACCTTATTCAAAAAATAAATTAATTAATTAAAAAAAATCTGGGGGGAAGAGTAAGATCTGGCTTGTGAAATATGTACAGAAGTGCCTGATTCTATAGTGCAGCCTTCATTATAAACATTTGACTGATGCATATGCAGAAACATGAACGTCTGCGCACTCCGAGTCCCACGAGAAGTCCTTTTCCATGGCATCTTTTATCCGTTTATTCCACTGCGATGGATTGTTCTTCTGCAGATACAGAAAATTAATCAACTGTTTTAACTAAAGTATACGTCCCTTAAAATCATTTAAAAAACACCAATTAAATATAAGGGTAAATTCCGATAAAGAGATTTTCGCACTTACAATTTCATCAATCGCTTGGACTAGAGACATATTTGCGAAGGTAGAGTTGATATACTGTGAGAATTTAGTCCTCCCGGCATTATTCTCCCCAGTGTGCCTGTGAACGAGTGTGTTGTTAATATTGGACATGAAAGAAAATCATTTTTTTGCTGAGTGGATATTTGGCAATGAAATATCATCAACTCACCTGAATCTACTGTCGTCGGCAAAATCTACAGCAATGGGAGCTGTTCCGTATTTTATGGCCTTCAGCTGTATAATTGGGCATATTTTTTTAAAAATATTGTAGAATATTTCAAACACAAAAGCACCACTATTTGGCAGATAAAATTAATCTCGGTTTCGCAAGATGCAAATCATCCGATCTTATTCATAACTGATCACTAGTCTTCTACACCGATGAAGACAAAATAAAATTGCTAAATCGACATCCTCCTCTAATAGGCACGTATGGAAAAATTTCATGTATTTATAAGTGATTTCTCTCTCGGAGCATGTTTGTTATCATCGAAAGGACGCAGTCACCATCCTTTTTATATTTTTTTCTATGTATAACCTAAGCATATAGGAGACACTTACAGGCACTTGATGCAGAGGATCATCGAAAGATGGGCATAGCAAAATGTCAGATCCTGCAATTATCAAATGTGATAATTGTTCATCGTATGCATCGATGAATTTGACATTTTCATCCTGTGACAACAAAGTATCAGATGATGTATCAATTTCAGATAGGAAGCCAAGAAAACTATTTTGATTCATATCTTTGATCAGTAAATTTGTGGAATTAGACGTATTCAAAAAATCAAAGAACCTACCTTCACTTCTTCCTGAAAAAGCTCGAATGCCTTCTTCATACCAGGGTTTTGGCTAGATCCAATTAAAATAAACTGCAGAGAACATATTCAGAAGTGACAAATTAGCTGAAATGAACGAATAAAGATGACATCGTGATCCAACAACATAAAGCTCATAAACCACAGATCTTCAGAGTACAGTCATGAGCTAATACAGGTTCACACTTCACATTGCTAATTCATTCTAACTAAGAGGAAGTGTTCAAGAATCGGAGGAAGTACCTGAGCCTCCCTTCTAGAAGCCATCCAAACTAGTGTTTTTAGCTTCTCAAGTTCCCCATCTAAAATGCTTGAATAAATGCATCCAACCTGAAAATTAATCAACTTTAGGTAATGCTAAAATACTACCTTAAATAGTATTACATAAGTGGTAGGAATGATGGTGAAAGCTGCTCGGCGACAGCTCAAATCACATTTCAGTGTTTTCTATCAAGAAGCTAAGAGAAGAAAATATTTTATTGGCTGTACACGGCACCAGAATTTTGACTGCCCCTTCGGGTAAACCCAGATGGTGCTGCAGTGCCACTTTGCAGAGAGATTTTCCTTTCATGTCATCAGCACTGTAGCTTTGAGGAAGAAACTTGTCGCTTGAAGGATCCCAAGTTGATTTATCAATTCCACAAGGAGAAATCACCAACTTTTCCCTACAACCATATTCAAGATATGAATGCAGGTTATCAACGAAGAAAATACATTGGAACTAATGAAAAGGGTGACAAAGGGTTAAACAACCGATCTTTGTCTTGCAAGTTGCAACAAATCCAACTCTGCTTGATTATGTCTTACAAGAATGGGTTGGGCAGAAAGCACAATCTTATAATTCAGGAACGCAATTATCTAAGAATCCTTAAAAAGGCGATACATACTTGTGAATAGTTAAGGTGGATTCCAATCCATGTCCCAATGCACTGATGATCTGGCCTTTTGTTTGCAGAGATGACATTATGATAACTTTATTAGAATAAACAACACCAGCCTGCAAAAAAAGAAAAATAATAATAATAATAATAATATCAATCCAAAAGAGAGATCACGACCAAAATGTTACTACGTCCTCAGAGTTGCACTTGACTTATTGCTACAACACTCCATTTGGTTTTGTTTACTTCCCTGATTACTTACGTGTCTATATATTTACACAATAAATCGAACTGAACTGCAGGATCATTTCCACATAATTTATATATAAGTTTTTTACTATAAATAATGAAGTCCATGACAGGAAAATCTACCTCCACAAAATTCTTATAGGAGAGCAAATCAAGTATTATGTCAATGAAAGAAGCAAATTATTACCTTTAATATATTCACAAGATGAGATTTGTTGTTATCTTGCAGTCGATCAGGCTGAAACAAACTAGAAGGATCAAGCCCACATAATGCTAGCTTTTCTGGTTGTTCAAGACACTGCCATTATAGAAATTGATAAGCAAGATTCTCATAGTCCTCCAACATATCAAGAGAACAAAAACTGCAAAATATGAAGTTAAGAAAAATGTAAAAGGAGGTGTTTACCTGGGAACCAAAGCCCTGGCACGTCAACAGTATCCTAGTACCTTCAAAACCCTGCAAGTCAATATACTCAATATATAGTTTCAAGTCAAGTGACCAATCAAAAACAATATAATTGATAGAATAAGGACATGTAAGAAAATATTAAACCATTATAGCATTCAAGTGTGTGTTTTAAATAAAATCCAGTTGACCTAGCAATGATAAGCCACCAGTTTTAGAAGCATATTAATTTAAGTTCAAAAAGAATTTCCAAGATGATCAACACTAAATCCAATCAAATGCTTCGTCAGTCATAGTATAAATGAGAACGCAACAATGAAAATGTAAGAAGGTTAGATGCAGAATTCCAAAGATATAAGAAAAGACCATAATATAACGATAAGACTTCTCATAAAAAACATGGAGCATAACGGCGTACTAGCTGTGTGTCTCAAAAAATTCAAATTATTCAGAACAACACCTGATTGACAAAAACATCCCAGAAAAGTGGCCCGACAATAGATGTATGCCAATTGTGTATATGAAGCACATCGGGCTGCTTTCCTGTTTTAACTAGATAGTCCAGTGCAGCACGAGAGAAATAGGTGAATCTGACAACAAAACGATATAACATGATCAGGTTAGAATATAGATTACAAAAAAATGAACATTGGCATGAATGTATTTAATGTATACTCCCTACTAAACAAGGAGCATAAAATACTAAATGTATAACCAAGTGCCCAGGAAGCTCAGCAGGAAAGCCGATAAAATTACTAAGTTGGAAATATAGAAACATGCATCGCAATCACTTCTATCGAGTTCAATAGTTAGGTGGTGTTTGCAAATGATTATTTAAAAGCAGAAGTTAGTGATTGTGAGTTAAGTGAGTTTTAAGTACTTATTTCTAAAGTTGGGGGTGTTTGCAAATATTCCGGAAAATGAACTTAAATAGAAAAGGGTTAGGGGTGCTTTTAAAAAAATAGCTTAAAGCAGATTATTTTAAGAGAAGAAAAAGCAAAAGTTGATTTTGCAAACACCTGAAAACAGATTATGAGCGAAAAAAAGCTCATAATCACTTTCAAAAAGCGTTTGCAAACACCACCTCAATAGTGGGTATAAATGATTTCATTTGCACATAGAAAACCACTTATTGTATCCGATAGTTATTGTATAATATAGAAAAAGAACCTATGCAGTCGCATTACAAGCATATAAGCACTTATATTGGCGTTCAGTATTGTAAAAATACATGCACAATTGAAGTTTGAAGTAGAAAGACAACGATATTTTGAAATATAACCCAGCAACACCATTTTGCGTCTATATGAACAGTTTTAAACACCATTATAACTATTTATACGAAATAAAAGAGGACAGTCTACAAACCTCTCAAAGTCATTGGAGTAACCGTATACTTTATCCTGACTAAAGAAAGATGAATAGTAGACAGGCTCTATAAAGGTAACTCCAATGCCGTAGACAGTCCTGTATAACAAACATCCAAAGCATAAGAAGAGGAAGAAGAAGTGCTACTGTAGGTACTGTTTCTACCTGAGGACCTACATCAGCTTTTGACAATTCTACATATATACATATATAAGGAGTATTAGAGCAAACTCACCCAGTCCATATCCTGTTTCCATGCAATTGACCATCAAAAAATGAGTAGAACTGTGATTCTACTTCTCGTAAGCCTTGAACCTCACTTAGATTCAAGAGTGCATACCTATTTCAAATTTATATCCAACAACTCAGGAAACAGAGGAAGAAAATGGCAGAAGATCTCATAGTTAAGGTATAATGCAGCTTAATGAACAATGCCAGGTATGGTTAAGATAGCTAAAAAGCAGATTAAGGTTTTATGCTTAAGTACTATATGTTTCTGATTAGTTATTTCAGTATTCATAATTGTTTGATATACTTTCTGAGTTGCGTTTCTGTAGACAATTCAATCTATAGGCCAGCCAGTCTTATGCAGCAAAAAGCATAAGTATGTCATTCCGTGGACACTTCAATTTAGTGGAAAATGAAGAAGCACAAATCAACGAATTGCGTTGAAATACAAATCTCAGCTTTTACCCACCGATTCTTATTATTGTAGACTAGCTATAATTTTTTTCAAAATGCGAACTTCTTAAGAAGTCAAGATTAAAAATAATTCATTGTTTAACAAAATAAAAGTCAAACTGTGAATCATTATACCAGAGTTTCATTCCCAGTGCTAGTCTACAGTTGACTATTCACCAATGCAGTAGAACTAAGATTTATAAATTGTTCATAAAAGAAATTTCATAATAGTAACCCCAGAAAATGGTAAATATGCAGGAGAAGATATGGCAAGGTTTCTACTCTACATGACAATAAGACATAAAAGGTAAGCCATAAACCACGGCAAAATAGAAAGTTCATGATTACTTGGGCAAAATAACCTCGACAAGATTTCCCTTCCTCTGGAGAGCACAAGATAATCCTGTTACATATGATGCCAAAGATCCAACAGAAACCACAGGTGACATTTCTGTAGAGATGTGGATTATGTGGAACCCATTTCTGAGTCAAATATAACAAAATAAAATAATAAGTGCTAGGAATGAGAACAGAACCATTGCAATAAATAAGATAAACTCTTCACATATGGAGCATAACCGTTATAAATAACAATTCTGATTGCGGAATATGAGGTTCTACAGACAAGAATTAAGAGGAAATTTGGGAGAAATGAGTCTTAAATATAGTAGATTAGAGACCAGAGTTTCTACAGTTGATGACCCACACAGGTATTAGGAACCTCATACAAAGTAGTAGTAGCAAACACAAAAGACATCTTACTTTTTGCTTTTATTTGAAAATTGACGCAGCTCAGCCAGAAATTCAGCATCACTCTTGTAGATCAAGTCATTTAAATCATCAGTCGAACTATCCCTTGAATCCATGACTAGCCTTCTCAAATCGGATGCCTCCGTACTGCCAATCACGCCATTGAGAACCAAAGAATCTATTCTAAGAAGCAACTCCGGGCTGATTGTAAGTGTACCTGTTTATAGTTTTTCAATGCAATAATAATGTCATAGTTAGTCTTAATGGATTTCGTTTCTCCTGCAGATAAATAAAGATTTGCATAAGAGATATTAACGAAATTCAAGCATAGAGATGTGCATTATTTCATTTCTATTAAAGCTAGCCCTAGTTTTTGTAACAGTCGATGTATTCACACTACTTCATGGATATTAATACAAGTATGACAACAACCTCTTCTGTCATTCGTATTCTGTTTCATCTCCAACTGCTCAACCCTATCAAGCAATGAGTTCCTTTCATTCTTTACCCTGTCGAGTTCTTCCATGGCCAGTAGACGCTGTTTGTTTAAGTACATAATATCTGAAAAGAAATCACGCAATTCAACATAACACCAGTTACATTAAATCCTCAAAGAAGCACAGATAATGTGATCGATATCAGGATAAGTAGACCAAACTTACTCTGCTGAGCTTCCTTAAATAGTTGCCAGATGTCATTAGGTTTCTCCTTTTTTACGTCATCAATGTATTTCAAATTTTTCTACGAGAACAAGGTTAAAACTCAGATAATTGCTAAAACATGTACAAAACATGTCGTAGTAAACAGAACAAGAAAAATAAATGACACCTGATGCACCTCACTGCTCGGGCTTCCCAACCTAGGTTTAACAAGGAAAATGTACCGTTTAGTGATTCACGTGAATTCAGAATTAAATATGTATTTCCCGTTAATCGAATATATACATATAGAGAAGGCACTTACTCCCTTGGAAGAGGAGCTCTAGATAAGCTATTGCTCTCTCCAGTACTCCTGAAATTGTAGGTTTCAACTCAACATCAGATCAAATGCATAATTCATTTTTTTTTTATCTGAAAAGATAACATTCTACAGGCAGCACTCGAATGTCGAAAATAATCTGATCTACAAATTCAAAAACGAAGAAGGAATCTATTTACAAGCCACATATGTAGGAGCCCTAATCCACATAAACTTGCGAATTACATGGTAAAAGTTCGATAAGGCCCGATAAAAATTAACAGGCATGCCAAATTGCTATTCTCACCATATGGGAGTGGCGATCACGAAAGTATATCTCTATTCTCACCAAATCGGAGAGACAGTGCATTATCAATGTCCAAGTATGAAAATGCACGGCAGAATAAAAAATAATACAGAAAAATTCCCAACTTTCCAACGAATGATGACATAATTTAGTCTGAACTAATTGGACTGTTTAACACATGAAAAATGCTTCGATATCAAATTGACCCGGAAATCCGTGGAATTCACAATTATGGAGATAATTTATCAAAATTGAACTGTAGGTGTATAAAATCACATTAAGGAATTTTGTATACGAAGAAGGAGAGAGAATCTAAGAGAAAGAGTAAATACCTGGAGCAGTTGAGGAGTAGCGGCCGTGGGCATTTTTGATTTCTATGGCTGATTTGGGGGAGAAGAGAGGGTTTGGGGACCGAAGCAGCCATGAGAATCTCCATTTCCGGCGTGTTTGTTTTGGGGTGGCGGTGGTGGGAGTGGAAGCTGATCTTATATTGGCTTTTGACTGTAAGATTACTTCGCCGGTTTTCCCGGATACCGTTGCAATTGGCAAGCTTTCAAAGGGTATACGGAAAATGTTTATTTTAACTAAGGACAAAATGCACTTCAGCCCCTTTAATTTCTCATTTTGGCACTTTTTCCCCTCAAAATTCAGAAAAGAGATAACACACCCCAAAAACTAATTTTCAATGGCATCGTGCAGCAAAAATAACAGTTAAAAGGAGCAATGTGTAACAAAATAACGTTTTTAAGGGGCAACGTGCAACAAAAATAATATTTAAAGGGACAATGTGCCACAAAAACACTCAATTCCGGTTAATAATCCATCAAAATTTCGCTAACGGAGCAATGTGCAACAAGTATAATAACATTTTGAAGGGGACATTCACTTTTTTTTTTTTTTTTTAGGGGATAAAGTGCGAAAATTAAAAATTTATAGGGAATGACCTTCAATTTGCCCTTTAATTTAATTTTTTTTAACCTAAATTTATTGTAATTATTAGAAGAAAAAAAATCTCTTATTATTTTAATAAGCAAAACTTTCATGCAGTTCAAATTTTTTTATTTTGCAGCACTACCCAAAAAAAAAATATCACTTGGGGTTGTATTGTATACTAAAGTTATAAACAAGGATTTAATCTAAATTCGACACCATTTATAGAATCACTTTGTACAAAGAGCAGTAGTAATTACAACTTGCGATGAACAAAAATATCTGCATCCAATTCAATTTAAATTGGATATACAACCAACATAAAAATAATTTGTAGCAGATATTTGTTTTATTCCCATGAAAATAAATGGATCAGAAAATAGGACCAGCAGCAAGAATTTCATCAGTCAACTTGTCATCCATGCCAATCTTGTGAGACACAAATCCTTGGAAATTGTTCTTGAATAGCCCAGCCAGTTTCACCAGTGTCTCATTGTATGCCTTTTTATCTGGCCACTGCATCCAAAAAAAAAAAAACGACAACACAAAAATGAAAATCGAAATCCGAGAAAGATAATAAATAAATAAAATTAAAGTTTTTGGAGAACTCACAGTGTTCGCAGGTTGCAGTATTTCAGAAGGCACACCCTCAACCTCGGTCGGAATTTCAAGCCCAAACACCTCGGTCTTTTTATAATCCGCATTCAAAAGACTTCCGGAATGTATAGCATCAATTATTTTTCGAGTGTACGCTAATTTGATGCGACTCCCACTTCCATATCTAAACAAAGCAGATTAGTCCATCAGTCGAAACTCTATTTTAATACAAAATAAAATAAAATTCAAAAGACGAAGTTCTTGAGATGCCAAACAGCGTGTAGAACGACACAAAATGCTAGGTGAAATAATTTTTCGAGGAAAAAACCTTTTTTTTTGGTTTTCGTTGTACTTTGCATTTTCTATTTTCCTTATTTCAAAATCAAGAAACGAGTTTCCACATAATACCTTCCGCCAGACCAGCCAGTGTTAACTAGCCATCCCGTGGCACCATGCTTTTGCATCTTCTCGGCTAGCATGGCAGCATATTTTGTAGGATGCAACATTATGAAGGCTGCACCAAAGCAAGCAGAGAAAGTTGCTTGTGGCTCCTTAATTCCTTCTTCAGTACCAGCAACCTATATAGCATTCAAATTCGACACATAAAAGATTTAATATTTTCTTGGATAAATTCATACTCGAAAAAAAAAACTAAATAAATAAATAAAATCGAGAGAATTGGATATAGATAAATGAATGCCTACCAGTGCAGTGTAGCCACTGATGAAATGGTACATAGTTTGTGCCAGATTGAGCTTACTCACAGGTGGGAGCACACCAAATGCATCACATGCAAGGAGGATCACATTCTTAGGGTGTGGACCAACGCAGGGGATTTTAGCATTCGGAATGTATTCAATCGGATAAGCAGCTCTCGTGTTCTCTACAGTAATTAAGTGCATATCAACAACAGAGGCCAAAAAAATGACTCAAGAAAATTGATTTCTTTAAAGTAATCGATGTTTTTATTACCTGTGACGGATTTATCCGAGTAATCCACTTCTCTCGTATGCTCCTCAAATACAACATTTTCCAATACTATAAATGAATAGATAGATAAGTATTAATCATTTCATCATAGACAAAAAAATAAATAAATAAAGGACTATATATAAACGAGATAATACCATACCAGTCCCAAATTTGATTGCATTCCAAATATCAGGCTCCTTATCCCTGGAGAGATCAATGCACTTAGCATAGCAGCCACCTTCAATATTCGACACTCCTTTATCACTCCAGCAGTGCTCATCGTCTCCAATTAAGTATCGGTTATGATCAGTTGACAGAGTCGTTTTTCCAGTCCCTAGACGTACACAAGAGAAGAATAACATCATTAACTACAAAAGTTAAAAAAATAAACTAAAATAAACTAAAAAAAAATCGTACAAACAGTAAGTGTGAGAAGACACATATTAGTACGTTTACCTGATAAGCCAAAGAAGAGAGCGACATCGCCATCTTTGCCCATATTGCTACCGGAGTGTAGAGAGAGAATCTGACGCTTGGGCATGAGATAGTGCATCACACCGAATAGGCCTTTCTTCATCTCCCCTGCATATTGGGTCCCGAGTATGACCATTTCTCTTCTCGAGAGGTTTAAATCGACGCTAGTTGATGATGTCATGTAATGAGTGTAACGGTTACACGGGAACTGTCCCGCGTTGTATATAGTGAAGTCCGGTGTACCGAAATTCTCCAGCTCCTCCGGGGTGGGTCGAATACACCTGTCACACCCATTCAATTATCATCAAATTTTACGAAACAACTACGTGATAAAACGTTGATGTGTAATTGCATTTACTTACATGTTGTGCATGAATAATGAATGGTAGGCTCTGGCTGAGACTATTCTGACTTTGATACGATTCTCCGGGTCCCAGTTTAGGAATTGATCGTTTACAAAAACCTGATAATCAACGAGCATTCCGAGTTTACCCATCGGTTAAGAATTTATCTCGGATTCTTCATAGTAATAGTTAAAAGACATACAATTTCTTAATGACCATTGTGATTAATTTCATTGGATTTAAACTAAGCTTTAGAAACTGAAGCACCAACCAACATATAACAACTCAATAACATTTCTTGAGACAACCAAACACCTCTATCTAAAATAATTTCCAACTTTAGAATGATTCGTTTATTACAAAATGAAAACCGAGAACGAGACGTAAAACAGGGAACACCCTAAAAGATATGGCCAAAACTCCACCTCCCAAAAGGATGAGAACAATATGAACACTATAAGCAGAAAAATGACATATAATATATTTACCTTGTCCAAGGAATTCAAGTAATCCACGGCTCTTTCTCTATTAACCATGAATGCATGCTCATCCATTTCAATGTTCGGTGAGCCCCTAAAAAAAGAAAAAAAAAAAAAAAAAAAAAATTAGACTGAATTTTTTAATTGATCTTCAATAAATTCTCAGATGATCGATTTAAAAAATTGATTACATACTTTCCCCACCAAAGATCATGCTCGGTTGACTCATCCCTAACAACGCGTTTGTCCTTGGGAGAACGCCCAGTTTTGGCACCAGAGAGGGTGGCTAGGGCACCGCTCGATGTAATGAAAGATCCTTTCTCGTACTTAATCGCCTGCTCGTACAGCTCTGAATTGATCACGAGAAAATATTGATTCACCGATAAAACTTGCGATTCCCCCAAATTAATTCGAAAATAAAACAAAAATCAATTTGTGGTGTATTGGAAATGTTACCGGCGGGAGAGAGGTTGTAGAGGATGTGAGTGAATTTCAACGAACTATCGGTGACGTTAATGGTGGGGCTGACGTGGCGTTGGTGGTGGTGGTGGCCGACAACTCGGGGGGTTTCCGACTGCCTCGCCGCCGCCGGGTCTCCTTTCACCACCTTGGGTCCGGTCTCTCTTGTCAGTGATGCTAACGAAGCGCTGATTCAAAAATTAATAATATCGCCATAACAATTAATAATTTTATGATATTTATATTTTATTATAACTAGATAAAATAAAATCCAGAATCCAATAATTATTTTATAATATTTGAACCAAATACATCACGTGCATGTTTAACATGAATATATATATGTTTATATTATATTTAATATTTATTTATTTATTTATATATACCTGATAGACTGAAGTTGTTGCTTGCTGCGGGCATCATCGGAGACCGCCGTAAAAGGACCCCGAATCCCGTCGAGAGGAGTGGTCGGCGCCGATTTCTTCTTCTGAAGAGAATGAAGTTCGTCGATCGTCTGAGCATTCACCGGCGCCGTTATGTCGTGGTGGAATATTCCGTCCGCCTTCTTCTCCTGCGTCTGAATCTCCGGCAGCCCGTTCCGTCCGGACGCAACGTTGGCCGCCATTTCTTCTCGATATCTGCATCACACACACAGTCACATATATTATAACCGACGTAATAAAAAATTGATTATATTACTCAGAGGAGTTTCTTTTTCTTTCTTTTTTTTTCTTTTTAAAATTAATGATGCATATTATTAATTAACAGTATTGGCATGCATATGATATGATCTGCAGTTTCCTGCACTCGTTTTTTCTTGAGCTTAATTCTATTATACTAAAACAAAAGGGGGAAATGGTAAAAAAAAAATTAGGGAGAGATAATCGGCACCAGATCAAATTGAAGGTTTTCGAGAAATTAATTAACGCAAATGGGGGATTAAGCTAATTGATGATGATGATGATGGAACGGTGTGTGTTGATGAGTTGCTATTTATAGAGCCTCGGTTAACCCTCAATCTAACCATGGTTAGACTACTCAATCCTATCTACCCAAGTCCACGCATTCAAAACTATATCCCAAATTCAGTTGACAATAGATGATTTTTTTTTTTTTTTTTATATACATACAAATAAAAATTATTTTCCTGAAATTTAGTTTATATATATATATATATATATATATATATATATATATATATATATATATATATATATATAAGTGATGCATCTCTGCGTTAGAGTTTTACATCCTCCGTTTTAATAAATTAATTATCGGGTTTTAATTAGTAGCTGGTCCTTGCACTGGAATGGCATCATTGCATGAGTTACTAGTTTTTATTGAAATCGTGTATTTAATTTGATAGAAATGAAATTTGTTATACTAACATATCCACTCGTTCGTCATAACTCGTGTGCTTACGTATCTCCTTTTTATTGTTTTCAACTCTTATTCATTAAACATGCATGCAGGTATTATTAGGTTGGGCTAACTTTCAAATATTTTTCCAACGTACACTTCAACTTGATGCATGGATTTGGAAGTACAAGTTATAACTTAAATCTACTAATATAAAGTAAACATTTGTTTTTACTAAAAAAAAAATCTTATAAAGACTAAGGCTCTGGTTGACAGGATTAAGCACTGAATGGTGAATACTGAATAAATATATGAATCAATAAGAGTTATGTCTGAATGTTGAATGTTGAACAATTAAGTCCATTTGATAACTGAATATCAATAACTACTGAATAATATTATCTTCTTTTTATAAACTTGTGTAATGGTGAAATTATATTTATTAATTAAATTTGAGTAATATATATAAATAAATTTAAAATTTAGAATATTCCATAGAGAAAAAATATATTGTGGCAAAAAATAAAATTGTAGATAAACTTTAAAGTCCAATATTAAATGTATATATAAGTATTAATATATTATCATATCAAATACAATGATGATAGCAAGAACAACAAATAGAACTCAAATACATTGTCTCCTCATTTAATCCTTCATCTCACATTAGTCTTTGTCAAAATAATAATTTATTATTGACTTCCACAATTGATGTAGGAGAGATATGAGATGGCCGTGGAGGGTTTCTTTTTTTCCAAAACTCATTGGGATACACATCTAACATCTTACCGAATAAGTAAACGATTTTTGGCTGAACCAATAAGAGGTAAAATATTTAGTTCAGAGATTCAACACAAACACAATGAATGAGATCATACTTACCTAATAAGAGGAAATTGTTCACTCAAAGGCCATTCAGTGGTCAACAAACAGGGCCTAAAATTGCAATTGCATTAACATGACTAAAAACTAGAGGTGTAAATGAGCTGAGCTGGCTCGATAAAAAGCTAAAGCTTAGGCTTGATTTTCTCAAGCTCAAGCGTTAATTCCGACGGACGCAACCTCGATCTTTAATTGTTCATGAGCTCATGAGCTGGCTCATGAACTTTATGTGTGCTTGTGTGTATTTATATATAACGTAACTATATGACAATAAAGTATATATATATATATTTAAAGAATTTAGAGATTTATGTTTTATTCTCTGACTTTTCTATTTTTCAATAAATAATTTATTATAAAAACCAAAATTAATATTATAATTATTTAAAAATTAGAAAAAAAAAATTATATAAAATGAGTTGAGCTTGAGCTCGACATATTCGGCTCGACTTGAGTTTGAGCTCGAGATCGAATTCTAGCGAGCTCGGCTTGAGCTCTAGCTGAGTTCGGCTAAAAATTCCACTAATAGTTAAGGTCCTCAAGTTTACTGCTTACAACAATACATTGTTTTAAATGGGCCTGATCCACTAGGTATAAATACAGTTTGCCTATAAAGATTGGACCCAAATCCTGGACTGTTGATTCATGATATTTGTAGTGGTCCAGCCCGATCACAATATTTATATTGTCCAATATAGTTTTTTTTCTCTTGGAAATAAAAAAAAAAGAACGGAGGAAAAAAAAAGATATTATTTTAACCATTGATCCTTGTCACAATTTCCAAACAAAATCATGTGATAACAATTGATTATGTATATCAGACAGAAATGCTATTTACGATCACAAAATTGTTATTCGCGGTTTATAACAAAACTTCCCAAAACTTTTAAAAATATCAAAAAATCCCCCAAAACTGTAAATAGCAAAAAAAAAAAAAATTGAAAATTCGAAATCAAGCTTAAAGAAGCGTTGGGCTTCGATTTTTTGATGTAATTTCGACTCTTTTATGTGTAATATATATTGGGTAGGTCGATTACAAAACCAATTTCATGTTAAAAAGCTCTACAAATCGATTTGTAGGGCTCTTTTTTTCGCAAAAAAATGTTCGAACACCCAAGATGGGCGCCTAAATGCAGCTTGCACGCCCAACTTGGACGTGCACTGCATGAATGGACGCGCAAGTTGAGCTTTTACGCATTTTGTGGGGATTTTTGGACTTTTTTGAGAAATTTTGGAGTTTTAGTTAAATAAAGTATTTTTTTAAAGGGTTTTATTATAAACCGCAAATGGCAATTTTCAAACCGCACAAAACAATTCCCATATCAAACCTAGTGGTCGTAATAATTACCAAATGTGCCTGTACCCAAATAATTTACCGGGTAAAGTTTTCCTTTCTTCAGGTTTCGGCGGCTCGACCGCCGGAGACGGGAAATCATAGCCGCGGTACTGAAATTTTTGGGACCAAAACCCGACCCGACCCGATTAGTTACCTATCTTCCAAGTTATACTGGGTCGATCGATGTACGGTTCCTCCATTGCCGGGATGGAGATTGATTACAGGAACAAACTTGTCCTTGCCCCAATGGTCCGAGTTGTAAGTGCTTTCTCCACTTTTTCCGGTGCTACTTTATCTTCACAATTAAGGATAAATTGTTGTTTGAATTTGATTTGCTGATTATTCGTTATGAACTGTCTGCTTGTTGTCTTCATCGACTGCTTGAGATTTTTATTCGAAAATTTTTAGGGCACGCTGCCGTTGAGGATGCTGGCTGCTGAATACGGCGCCGACATCACATACGGGGAGGAAATTATCGATCACAAGCTCCTCAAATGCGAGCGACGAATCAATGGTATGTGTGTGTTTTCGTGTTTTTCGTCTTTTTCGTGTTCGCGTGTGTGTGCCGATTCTACTTTATCTTTGCTTTGCCTTGGAATTAAAAAACTTGGAACTTTACATCACTGCCATTGTACGTTAGATGTACTTGGGACTGTTGATGTGGTGGAGAAAGGAACGGAAAGTGTTGTTTTCCGAACATGCCCCGAAGAAAGAAGTAGGGTGGTGTTTCAGATGGGAACTTCGGATGCTGTCAGGGCTCTCCGTGCTGCCCAAATTGTGTAATTTTCCTTTTTTCTCATCTTCCGTCTTATTTATTATCAAATTATCTCACGCGATACGAATTTATTTGTGGCTCGTCATTGAGTGAAGTAAGAGAGAGAGAGAGAGCTCTCTATATATTATGATTTGAGGCTTTAGAGAATCTTGAATGTGCCACTAATGTTTAGAAATCGTAGTGTTATTTAGGACTATCATTAAGTTGCAAATCCACTAGAAAGTAGAAGTGTGTGTGTGTGTGTGTGTGTGTGTGTGTGTGTGTGTGTATATATATATATATATATATTTGATTAGAAGATTATAACTCTATCTGGTCAATTAGATGGCTCTGTTCCTTCTTGATTCCGACGTAGAGAATTGACACAGATTGATAGTGACTAAATTCTTCTTGCCTCTCCACAACTTACGGTTCTGCATAAGTGGGATTTTGAGATTGAGCATAAAATTAGGAATGTAATGGTATCCATTTTTATGAGATGCAAGGACTCCTTTGATGTTTCGTATTTGTCGTGATAATCAAGTCATGTTTTTCCTTAGGTGTATGGATGTTGCTGCGGTGGATATAAATATGGGTTGCCCCAAGGCGTTTTCTATTAGTGGTGGAATGGGTGCGGCATTATTGTCTAAACCGGAGCTTATTCAGGATGTATGTGTGCATTCTTGTACTCACTTTGAGTTAACTTCACTTCTTTTTGGGTTTACTGTGTACCATCACTGGTCTTACTTGTTCGCTTTTTCTTTTGGGATCTAGATTCTGACAACATTGAAAAGGAACCTTGACGTACCAGTAACATGCAAGATCCGCCTATTACAATCACCCAAAGAAACTGTTGAACTAGCACGCAGAATTGAGAAAACTGGTGTTTCTGCTCTAGCTGTCCATGGAAGGTATCTTCAGTAGTTTCTGCTTTTGAGCGATTTCCAATAGCGTTTTTTATATGTCTATGTTTATGGATATTTGATATTTCGTAATATTTCTTGTGTTGTGATATCCTATATTATTGTTCTGTATGTAAAGTTGAAGATCTTTCAAATATTTGTCGATGAAAAACCTGTATAGACTATAGAGCTTATTTTATAATTATTCTGTACTTACGAGGGTTAAATAAATTATTCTGACGCTACTTTTTATTAAATAAATGACAGGAAAGTTGCCGATAGGCCAAGAGATCCAGCTAAGTGGAGTGAAATTGCTGATGTTGTAGCCGCAGTTTCTATCCCAGTTATAGCAAATGGCGATGTATTTGAGTACGAAGATTTTAAACGCATTAGAGTCGCAACAGGTATATAAGATATTTCCAGTCATTCCCCATGAGCTGATACTGTCTTGCTTTATGTTGATTTGTTCAATGGAATATGTTCTAATGGAGCTATTATCATTTGCCCGATAAAATGTGATACAATACAGTGATCTGTTATAACTACTAGCTTTTGCTGGTAGTACTCTTTATAGATTGAATTACTCCATCAAGAATTTCATGTCTGTTCACACACAATTTAAGAGCAAATTGTATCTTTCCCGTGTCGTTTGTCTCTCGTGAGCTGCAATTTTCTTTTCACTTCTTGCTATTTATTTGACTGAAAGATGGACTTTCAAAGTATACAATACTTACTTTTTCGCTGTATAAAATTACACAAATCTTGTTGGCGATGATTCGTCTATCTAATCTCTCGTTCATAATAGCCTGATAAAAAAATTTGTTTTAGGCATGCCTGGTTGATAGATTTGGAGCATATGAGTACCTTTGGGAAGGAAGCAAGTCATAATATATAAGGTGTGATGACTATTTGGAGGCTTTGACTTCTGTGTTTATATTCACATGCATCGTGTCTCGTAACTGGATTAGGGTTCTTTAAGTATTCGTATGCGCGCATGAATCAATACCTTGATCTTTTCAGCAAGTGGTGTTTAAGTTGTGTGTAGTACGTTGCACTATGTCGTGAGTTTGAGACTTTTGACTCGCTATTATTTTCAAATTGATCATGAAAATTGGCTTTTTGTCGATTCTTCTTTTATCACTATATTAACGCACTTGTCTTTTTCTTCTTGAGCGATAAATATTACCCCGTATAATCTGTTTCTGCTACAGGTGCTTCATCTGTAATGGCTGCCAGAGGTGCACTTTGGAATGCTTCCATGTTTTCTCCTAAAGGAAAATTACCATGGGAAGATGTCAAAATCGAGTATCTTAAGAAGGTAGGCGACACTCACTATACGAGGTTTCCTTTCATACGTATAATTATGTTCTCGCATATATATATGTATATATATATATATATATATATATATATATATATATATATATATATATATATATATATATATATATATATATCTGACCCCGTTTTGCTAGTATTTTCGGATAAATGCATAAAGGTATGACTTCCTGAGTTAATACCCGTGTTATAATATCTCAGAGCATCTTATGGGATAATGATATGAAGAGCACGAAATACACGTTGAAGGAAATGATAGCCCACTATTCTTGTCTCGAATTACCCGAGGGGAAAGCTATAAACAAGTCTGATACTTTGGCTGACCTTGCGTAGGTGTCGCCTTCTTAATTTCAATCAATCTTAACAAACATTTCAGTATCTGCTATAATCGACATTTATTTATCTTGCAGACGACTTTACGAGGAAGACAAGTACTACGAGCACGTTAACAAAAGTCGTGGAAGAAGTAGATGACATCATCAGAATAATCTCTTCGGGTGCAGATTCTGATGTTGTATTAGCTCATCTTAGTAAATTCATTGCAAAATATATTCTTATAGCCATTTTAGTCAAAATTTTATTGCGTTTGCACGAACACTGCTTGACGGTGTCGAACGATACATTCTTTTCAGAATTACTGTTATTGTTTGTAATAAAAAAAATAATTTAAAAGAAAAAAGGAAGAAAGAACACTATCGGATTGCACAAATAGGGCATGTGTTGCTATTTATTTTCTTTAATAAGTGGGCCTCAATTGATTAAATTGTTGTGGACCAATCAGGCCCAGCAGATCAAAGACCCATTACGATTTACGGCGGTTATTTGTAGGGGTAAAACTGGAAATAGCGCAAATAAATAAATAAATGTATGATATAAAATAGAAAATCGGAATCTGGCGTCTTCTTTCTCACCGTTTACTTCATCTGAACAGAAATTCGCCAATCAATCATCATCGCTTTCCGATTCTCTACACTCTTCCGCTGCCTTCTTCACGTGAGTATAACCCCCATTTTCTCTCTCTCTCTCTCTCTCTCTCTCTCTCTCTCTCTCTCTCTCTCTCTCTCTCTCCATCGCTCTCTGCGTGTAAGTATATACTTTGTGTGTATGTATCAATCAGCGTACGTTTCTGAATCTTCTCCATCTTTTTTTTTCTTCTCCGATCTGAATATTTTGTTTCGTTAATCCTAAGTATAACTTAGATATGATAGTGTCGTTCAATTTCAATTCGTGATTCATCGAAATCAATCAGCTTCCGTGAGTATAAATTGATTGTTTGTTTCTCGACAATAGGAGTTCAATTGCGAAAATTGTTGGCTGCGGAGTGTAAGATATTTTTGACGCTGAACGTCTTGTGTGTTTGCGTGTAGAATTGTGTTTTATCAATTATGAGGGTTCTTGGCTCAAATTGTGGGTGATATGGCGTTCGTAATGTGTTTAGGGTTTATAAATGCTGTATAATTTGAACGGTGACTTGCATTTTAGTTTGGGCGTGTTCTGGAAATGCTCTGTTTGCAAGAAAAGTAACTTGTCATTTCGTTTGGTCTGTACGGATGATTTGCATTTTTTTTAGCCCCATAAGAAATATTATGAAAAAGAAATTTATGCGCATTTTTTATTTATGCTTTGTTTCGACATAGTCAAGTAAATGCTACCCCTTAAATTCTATAATTTCATGCATGCCTAAAGTGTTTTGGTTGATACCGTTACAGAGCTAAGATTCAGTATTGAAATTAATGTACTCCCTTCTCCAACCTCGCTATTCGCATACGTTACTATAGATTAACTATGTTAGCTGCTGTCAAATCCCTTCTGAACAACTCCTAGAATCTTTTAACATAATATCCATGGTTAGGTTACATATTTGCATTACAAACAAAGATCTACAAACCTTTGTTATTATTTGGGGTAACTTCACTAATTTACCGTTATTTGATTCTTGAAACTATTTTTTTATTGATCAAAAACTTTAACTGACCAGAGATTCTCACTTCACTTCTGGCTTGGTCTTGAACTTTATGATTTTCGAGAAATTATAACGTGATTTGAGCTTGCATGTGCTTACGAGTTTTCCCCCTTTTATTGAAGTCTTTGATTTATAGTTTTTTCTCTCATTTATAGCTTAGGCATGATATTAATTTAAATACAAACCTCATGTCAAGCCCAACCTGGGTTAACATGTTTTGCTTCTTAACTAAAAGAATAAGAAAAGAAAAATTGCAACAAGTAAATACCACTATACTAGTATATTTTAGCTAGTAATAATGTCTGTAGAATAGATTGAAGTATGACTTTTATGTGTTTAGAAGTAATTTTTATGAAGTTTCTCTTACATCTCCATATTATTTTTTGCACTTATCTCAAGTCTTCAGCCTAATTCAGACAAACTTACTTGTGCTTATGCTTAGCTAGAACTGTAAACTCAAGCTGGCCTCAGCTCAAGCTTAGTTTAGGATGAAATCCATTCCAGCTTGAGCTAGTTACTTGTACTATTAAGAGTTTAATGCATCCATTCCACTCGTAGTCCACCTTTCCTGTCCTTCTCAGCAGTCAGATGGACTCAAATGATGAATATTTAACTTAGGTCAGGTTTTAAGCTTTTGCTTACGAGGACTTCTTTAACCATGTAGAAGTTTATCTTTGGTCTTTTGTTGACGCTCGTGCAGTTGTGTAGTGTTCTGGCCCTGTCAAAAAATACTAACAAATTGTTTTTTTGGCTTATAGCTATCACTAGGGCAAGTTTTTTTATACTGAAATTTACTTGAAACCTTTTTGTCTGCTCCTCTTCATAACTTGCTTCCATATGACCTGGGATTGGTGCCTATTTATTTATTTTCCTGCTTGCGGATACCTTCAAGAGTCGATATCTCATGACGTAAACTTGTTTATTTCTTTCTTGCAGGTTTTAATAGATCTTGTGAAGTGTTATACCAACAAACCTGACATTCAGAAATGGAGCTGAGTTCCATCAATGATGCTTTTGACCGTGTTACAAAGAAGCAAAAGCTTTCATCCTCGAAAGTTCAAGAAATAATCGAGCAGATTGGACGAGAAATAGAACAGGCTATATCAAGAATTCAATCCGAACAGGATTCCGCATCTCCATCTGATCAAAAAATGATCCTCAACGAACTGAAAGCCAAGTTGAAGGAAATTGCTCCACTCAGGCAGCTGGAAGGCCCACAAAAGGAATTGAATGTTGCGCTCAGCAAGTACACAAAGATGCTTGAGAAATCCTTCACTGCCGACATTTCGAAGTCATATCTTGATATCGATTTTGATCTCCACACTGTCAATCAAATACTTGCTAGCCACCTCTACCGTGAGGGCCTATTTGATGTTGGTGATTGTTTCGTGAGCGAGTCAAACGAACCAGGGGCTGCCACAGACAGAGCCCCTTTCCTAGAATTGTTTCAAATACTCGAAGCCATGAAATCTAGGAATCTCGAACCTGCTCTGAAATGGGTGAAAAGAAACTGCGAAGAACTGATACAACATGGATCCGAGTTAGAATTGAAACTTCACCGCCTTCAATTCGTGGAAATCTTGCAGAACAAGAGCCGAGACGAAGCTTTGAAGTACGGTAGAGCCTTTCTCGCCCCATTTGCCGCCACACACATGGCCGATGTCCAGAAACTCATGACTGCTCTGCTGTGGGCTGATAAGCTCGATTCATCTCCTTATGCAGAACTACTGTCGTCCACACACTGGAGCAAAATGGCTGAGGAACTCACACGGGAGTTCTGCAATTTCATGGAGCAATCCCATGAAAGCCCGTTGAGTGTAACAATTGCTGCTGGAATTCTAGGGCTGCCGTATCTTTTGAAAATGTCGAGCTTGACTCTTGGTAAAAATCTGGACCCCTCTTCGGTGGATTTGAAGCTGGGCGTAGAGTTTCAGTTCCATTCGGTGTTTGTGTGTCATGTAAGCAAAGAGCATGCAAGTGCAGACAATCCTCCTATGATATTGACGTGCGGACACGTGATATGCAAGCAGACAATGACCAAGTTAACCAAAAATAACAACACTAAGCCCTTCAAGTGCCCCTATTGTCCGATTGAAGTTGAAGTAGCTCAGTGTAGGCAGTTGTTTCTCTGAATACACTGCTGAATTAACATGAAAGGGTCGTATTTGGAGAGTATACGAAAAGGGAGATACTTCTTCTTCTTCTCTCTCTCTCTCTCTCTATGGAAACATAATTCACGTACCTAGGTAAGATGAATCGTTTAGACGTAGATGTTTGTTGTTGTTGTTGTCTTGGTTATGGCTTTGCTTTAAATCTGTTCTATGTTGAAGTTGGTAAGGTTTACTGTTGGGATGGATGATTGTAAATAGATATTCTTTGCGCATATACTTTTTCGCTTCAAGTATGGTACTAAAGCTGCATCGACCGCGAGTTGATTAACGGTACTTGTTTGGAAGTGAACGCTATGATGATAGTAAAAATTACTGTTCATGATGTTCTCGTGTTTAACCGACATGTGGGTCGGAACCGTTGATGGTTCTCTTTTTCTTAGTTGCTTTATATTCATTAATCATGATGCATTTTTTTTTAATTGGGGATTATGCGTGGTTTAAATCCCTAATGATGTGGCCTATATGGTGGCATGGCATTACCCTTTGAATTTAACAGTGATGATCTCTTCAGGGAAAGTATTTTTTTATTTTCCCAGCTACTCAACCTTCTGGATTTGTTCCAATCACTCACTATAGAAAGGTTTCTTGGATTCCTTCTTAGATTTGACAAAAAATGTGACCAAGTCACCTCTAAGATGTAACCGGGTTAGAAATACAATTTTGAAACAATAATTTTTATTATCATAATAGATTTCGATTTTAATTTTTGAAACCTAAAAGTTATTACATTTATAATTTTAATATTATTATATGTTTTTACTATGATATAATTTTTACCATGTGTATAAAAATTGAGACAGTTAATTTTTATTTGAACCATCTTAATTTTTTTTAATATACATTCAATCAACAAATAAAGAAAAATACAAAAAATAATAAAAGCATGATTGCTGTGCCCCTGCTATTAATAAGCACCTCATAAAATTATAACTAAGCTAGGAAGTAATTAATGTCAAGTTTGGGAAGATAAACCCATAATGAAACCATGATCCAACTGCAACATAGAATATTTCATGACATCAGAATCTGGTACTTCTGGCAATAAGAAGCCAAGATTTCATCTTTTACTACCAAGACAAACTCGTGTCGCAAATGCTATTGCTTCAGATAACTGATCAACACCGAACAACATAAAATCATTCCAATACGACAGTAGCACCAAGTTCCTTGAGCTTCGCCACAATCTTCTCCGCCTCTTCTTTGGTAACACCCTTCTTCACCACCGACGGTGTTTTCTCCACCAAATCCTTCGCCTCCTTCAGACCTAAATCCGTAAAAGCTCTAATCTCCTTAATCACCTTAAGCTTCGACGCGGGGTCGAATTTCTCCAATTTCACATCGAACGCCGTCTTCTCCTTGGCGGCAGCAGGGGCAGCACCACCACCGGCTGAAGAAGGGGATTGTGGGCCCGGTGCAGAGACAGCAGGCCCATATCGGTTGATTCCCATTTTGTAGCGCAACAAGATGACGTAATCATGACGCTCGATCTTGTTGAGGTCCAATAGCTCACTGGCAATCCGTTCCAGCTTTTGTGTTCGTGTTTCCATGGCTGTGCAGAGGGCCCGGCAGAAGAACGTTCTGGTGAGGGACCTGGATGGAATTTTTGAAATTATGAAGGGGCATTTCGGAGAAGGGTTAAAGTTGGGTTTTTTGGAATGGCAGTATCCATCAACAAGGAAGATTATATATAAATGAAAATAACACGAAAAACACAAGTACCACAACACAAGTATAGAGATCAGTATTAAATCGAAGTCCGTGAATAATTCTGAACATGCAAAAAGCTATCAACAGATTGTTAGATAAGATATGTGTATACAACCATGCTCCTAATTGAAAATATCGAATTCAACAATATCATTCTCCAAAAAATATGGAATATTAGATTAGAGATTAAAGAAGGGAGGTCGAATCGGAATATCGAAATCAGACTGAACGAAACATGGTAACCAGCTGATGCTCATAGCATCCATTACTTCAAAATAAAACGATTTGTGTTGGTTTATAAATGTTACATCGACCATCGATATTCATTTATCTACGTATAAATGTCAAAAACTTCGAAATTGCGCTATTCAAGCTCAGTTTAAAAACTAATTTCATACTAAATGAAACGGAGGTTAAACTACCAGTAGTGAACCAGTTTCGGATTCGCTTGCTCGATCTTAAGAACACATACAAAAATTAAAAAGCCTAATTGAGCAATAAACAGGGATTTTAAATTGCATATAGATCAAAAGAACAAACATCAAAAAATATATATATATATATAATGAAAGTGAAAGGCACTAATAAACTAAGCAAGAGAAGAAGATCATACTTTTGTGTGGAAATGAAATTATTTTTCCATCGGCCAAGCTTTCCGGATCCTTGCTGAGTAGCAGGTGAAACAATTGAAACCTAGCACCAAAACAGATAATCTCAGATAAATTTTTAACCTATATTTCAAATAAATCATCGCCATAGCTACTGATTCAATCCGAGAAGGGGAAAATAAGAAACAGGAGAATCAAAGAAATTTACCAGTACTCTAATAAGCCAATTAGCAACATATTAATTGAACCAAAATAAAATAAAATCAAACAAGTGAAATCGAAGCAAAGGGAAAAGGAAAACCTTTTGGCGGAGGTGCTCTTGGGGGATCCCGGAGACCATACCCATGTCTCCGGCCGGTGAATCTCCGGCGGAGAACGCTCTCGAAAATGAAGCCGAAGCCGGAGCCGATCGATAAGCCTTGCTCGAATTACTAGCCAGCCGTTGAAGAGAGTTTGCCATTGCGGCGAGTGCTCGATTCACTCAAAAATGGATTTCTCTGTTCCTTCTGTTGGGGGTTTAATTTGGGGGCAATGGAAATTTTATCAAAAAATTAACAGGGTCAAAATTACAATTACCAATTGTTTTGGGGTTTTTATGCGAATTTAACTATTTCGATTCATTACATTCCGATCCTTAAATTGTAACGAGAATAATACGAAATAGCCCCGCCTAAATAAACTTCTCTCCGCAAAACCCCTTCAACCTTCAAAGGAAGTTTTGATACATCCAAGTGGATTTTAGGTTTCATGGGCTTAATTTTTTATTTTTATATAAGTGTCCAATTTAATTGCCTTATTTAAGAATTTATTATCACTAAAAATATAAATAATTAAATATTACTAATGCAAATCGAACTTGTTAAATATGCACTTTATAGGTTTGTTTATTGAGGCAAGTATCCAGATTATAAGTTAATCTATTCAAAAAAATTATAAGCATATTGCATTTTTCATAAATAAAAAATAAATTGAGGAATTTTGCGGGACGGGTACCCACAGGAATTGTATGCACCGGGTTCGGGGATACTCAATACATAAAGTTCCGGAAGTTTTACAAGAATCAGGATTGAGAATTTCAGAGCGAGGCGGGACAGGAATAACAAAACACGACCTATTGTCCTCCCTAGTTAACATATGCTATTGTTTGAGACTCATAAAGACTTGTATAATCTGCATTTGGTTATTGGGCTAAAAAACTTTACAATTAATCTTAATTATTTTTTTTTTCAATCATTGACAAATTAAAGGATCGAATAAACACATATTGTAACTATCTGCTGTTCTTGATCTGGATAGTGCCCAAAATCATGATTTATTTATTTTTCCATTGTGATTTCCCAAAGTGGGATATATTCATATTTAATTTAATTTAAATAAATGTGAAAATCAATGATTAAGTGGTCCTCCAATCAAACCCCACATGATTTATACACTCAATTTAAATATATTAATCTAAAATTAGGAGATAGTTAGCCCACTCTTCATTCATACACTCAATTATTTACTTATAATGCTAATGTGGTATCAACTATCATGCATGAATGGTGGCCTACTTGATTTTATCATTTTTTCAAATATTAATTTATGTTGTTGGAATTATTAAGCCGACACCCATTTTCTTTTATGACAATAATTACTCAAATTACTTAATATATTTATTAATACAAAACTTATGAATATTCTTGCCAATTATATATGTATATTACACATGCCAGCACGTAAAGTTCATCGATCAAGAACTGGACAAATTTCTGTTGCAATTTCTTAATCAAAGGCCCCAGATTTCATTTGTCCAGATATAAAAACAAAGCTTTATTATTTTATTTCAATACACATACCAATTATTTAGTTTACATTATAAATAAATAAATAAAAGTAAATTAAATAAAAGTTCAGGAGATTTTTATTTGTCTACAATTATTTTTAAAAATCGAAAACGAGAAAAAGCGATAAGAGTAAATAAAATAAAGACAAAAATAAATAAGAGCTTTCATTTCCATTTTCACCTGTCTACTAAATAAAAAATATTACTTGAATAAATATAAAAAATAAAAAGGAAAATAAATAAAATTAAAATCGTGCATTCTCAAAGCCATGTAAATCGCTGACTCTATTCAGCGACTTTCTCATCATGGCTACTTTCGCCAGCCGTTCAGCCGCTCTCCAAGCCGATGTTGGCGTAAGCGGCTCGGCTTTTTCATCTGCCCGGCTAACGGGAGCAGCTGCTGCGGCGGCTTCTCTTTCGTGGTTGTTCCTCCTCTTCAGATTCAACTCCGCCATTTCAGCTTCCAGCCCGCGAACAAACTCCTCGCCGGAGGAGCCCGAACCCGACTGTACAATTAGAGCCCGAGCGGAGGCCAGCATGTGGTGAGCGCCGGCGACGTCGTTCCTCTCGGCCATTCTCCTGCTCTCCGCGACGGCGCGTGTGGTGATGAATAGGCACCGGAGACGCTGGGTGTCGCGAGTGGACGAGCCGACGGCGCGTGGGCGTGGGATTGAAAGGGCCCGTTCTTTGTCGTATATGGTTTGTTGAGTTGACGGGTCTTTGTAAGAGGATCGAAAAGACAGTAGCCGGTGGGCCCCACGCAATGATAGTGGGACCCTCAATTCTATCAGCAATTCTCTCTCCTCACCCGAATGGAACGACCCGACCCGGCACCAGCTTGAACCGGATCCGACGAATCCGGTTTTACCCGTGTACGTGTAAATCGCAGAGATCTCCGCCGCCGCCGAACCGGTAGTGAACCCTAGCTGAATTTTGAAATCTTGTATAACATCGCTCAGCAAACCGACGATAGATTTAATAAAGGTATCGTCCGGCGGCGCGTTGATGCACGCGTTAAGGTTTATTGAGTGGACGGGAATTTCCGAGTGGGCAAACCACCGTGCGGAAGTTATACGCCGGCCACTGTGGTGACCGTCGGAGAGGACAAGGATGCTTGCGGCGGGGTTTTTCTCGCGGCGGTCCTCGATGACCTTCGCCGCCTTCTTAACCGCGTCGGTGGCGCTGGCGGCGCCGCAGTCCAGCGCGACGACGGCGTCGATAATCCTGCGTGCGGATCTCTTTCCGGCGGCGGTCATTCTTCGGAGCGGCAGCAGCCGCTTCGAGGTGGTAGAGAACGCCACGATGGACAAGCGGTCGGCTGCGGAGAGAGACGAGACCACCATTCGCATAACCCTCCTCATCAACTGAAGCTTATCAGCGGCGGCGACACTCCTGCCAACGTCCAACACAACCACCAAATCTACAGGCACCCTCCGCGCCGGAGCAGCCGCCGGAGCTCTGAGTTTCAAAACGACTGCGTAGGTCTCGCTCGTCTTCCCCACCGAGACCACCGCCGCCTCCGGCAACAGAGCCACCTCCACACAACTACTCTCCGTCTCCAATTCAGCCGCCGGAACCGAAAAAAACCCGGGAAAATCGTCGCTCCCTTCTTCCGGAATAGTATTAAATCCGGCACAAGAAATAGGAGAAGAAATGGGTTCGTCGTCGTTGTAAACCTTCAACGCAAGTAATCTCTTGTCAACTACTACATGATTATCCCCTTTCTTCTGGGTGGTGTTGTTCAAGAGATGCATTTCCTTCCACGTGACACTGCAAACAGGGCACGTGAGAGACGCCTGCTTCTTCATCTGCCCCGATAAGCACGGAAAATGGAAGCTGTGCCCGCACTCCGCCGTCAATATCGCCGTCCCCTCTCCCGCCTTCACCCCCTCTAAGCATATTCCACACCTACTCTGCTAGTACATATATATATATATATAAAATAAATAAATAAATAAATAAAACCACAGAATTGAAATTGTGAAAAAAAAAAGATTGTACCTTTGAGAGGCGGAGGGTTGATTTAAGCAAAGAAAAAGTGGAGGGGGAGCGTGGTGAAGAAGGTGCGGAGCGGTGGAAGAACAATCTGGGGCTGTTCCTGGTGGTTTTGCATTTTAGTTTCGGGCTCCCGTTGGATTTGTTCGTCGAAGCAGGCGGCGGCGTAGCGGTGGTTCTGCATCGGAGGGTCGGGGTTGGTGGGTCGGAGAAGAAACCAGTGAATCTGGAGCGGAGATTCGGAGCCGGGTCGGGTTTCTCTCTGATGATTGGGGAGTCTGTTTCTTGATCCTTTGGTATTGATGTGCAGAATGCTCTTCGCCAACCCAGAACCATTGCTGCAACTTTATTTTTCAAGGTTTCTTGTTTTTGATTTTTCAGACAAATGGGAATAAACGGAGAAGATAACAAACAGAGACTCAACACAGTGGGAAAAATTCAAGAAGAGGACAAAAGAATTCCAAAGAAACCAAACAAAAATTACTAGAAAACAAAACACCACCTTCTTCGATCAATTATGAATGCATCTTTCGGTTTGTTATGTTTATTTATTGTTTATGTTTTACTTTCTTTTTTCTCTAACAGTTAGTTGCAGAGGAAGGCATGTAATTAAATTACGATATATTACAACCACACCCCTGAGGTAAGATTAAATTACGAACAAATCCCTCATGTTTGGGCAATTATAACTACCCTCAATTTTTAATTTTCTTACGCGTTCACCTTTATGATGTCAAATTCAACATAACCTTTCACATTCCGTGGAATGTTCTCTACTTTGTACTCGTTTTGTGCAAACATGCATTTTCTTATGCACCACAATCTGATATATACAAGTCAAAAATACATCTTATTATCTATCATGCTTCAAAATGTGGAGCTGAAATCGGATAAAATGGGTACAAACTTAAGAATATTCTATATAATCTAGAAGAAGATTCTACTAAATTTGATACCGTAATGGTGGACGTGTAAGAAGATTCATGGTTGAGGAGTGTTTGTCAAAATCGCCCAAACATGAGGTTTCTTTTTGTAATTTGACCTTACCTCAGGAGTGGTCGTAATTTACACATCAAATTATGGTAATTTACATCTTATGATAATTTTATTTCAACTGAAGCTCGATTGAGATAAAACGGGTACAAATTGAAAAACATTCCACATAATCCAGAAAATCCTACTAAATTTAACACTAAGAGTGTGAACGCGTAAAGATATTCAAAGTTAATGGAAATAATTGTAATTAACAAAACATGATGGGTTTTTCATAATTTAACCTGAAATTAGGGTGAAGGTAATTCTCTCACAATGTACCTTAAACAATAGTAACCGACAGGTGGCGGTTTTACTAAGTCAACGGCTGTTATTTTATTTTTTTATTTTTATTTCTATTTTTAATTTTTGGCCTTTTGATCTGAATTTGAAAAATCTCTTGGGCCGTACAATTAGCAAGTAATAATGTAATATTATTGTCCCATAGAGAAGTAGTAACTATTTTGACTTACTTTATGTAACAAATAAATAATTATATACACTTGTGTGAATATTATTACTTGGGGCAACTTTTAAATCTAACTTTCATCTATTTTACTACTTTTTCCATCTTTTTTTGGAAATTCTCTTCTGCCATTTTTGGATCTTTTTTCTATAGTACAAATTTTCCTTTTAACCCTGGAACGAACCCCTTTTTACTTCATCAACCCACGTGATTTACTGTTTATATAAATATATTTTTAAATTTTTATTTTTGTTTCTATCTAAACAAATTGGATTTCAAATTACTAATAATACCCGGAATTTTGTAATAATTAATATTGGAGGACTAATAAAAAATAATAGCTGTTAAATAGCATTTTGCCGTCTGTATTTTGCCCGTTCCTTAAGAAAAAAAAATCCACAGGTACATCTAAACTCGTAGTTTCGAACAATTAAACCACCTACGTCTAATTTTCAGGCGAGACGAGGCACATGGTTACGTCCATGGGTTTTTTCGTCTTTTTAGCTCAAAATAACTTGTTGATCCTAATTTTATTTTTCATTTATATTTCTTCTCTCAGACGAGCGCATGCCAAACATCATCATTATCTTCTTCCTTTCTTTTCTTCTCATCATCCTTATTTATTGTTCATTCCATTTTTCTCAATTCTCACCGAGTTTGAGCGTGCATGTACAATTTTTTTTGTTAGGGTTACAATGTGCAAAAACGACAAAGTACAGGTAGTAAAATACCATTTACCGAACAGATTATACAGCCCATACAAAATAATAACATAATAAATCGGTAGGAGGACAAATTAATATGATTCTGACTTTTGTTCAAATTGTTAAATGGGTCTATCAGATTATGCCCATGATGATAAATAATTTTAGAAAATGTGCCATCACTATTTATATCTTCATTAATTTCACTAGTCAATGCTACTGGCAAATTAATTTTTAATTAATAGTTAGCTGTAGTATTTTCTACACAGCTATAATATTAGTAATTATTTTCTTATTATTTATTCCCTGTTTATATCATTTATTGAAAATTCAATAAATCCACTCACTGTATATATTCAACAACCAATTGAAGCCTTTAGGTATTAATTTCGTAATCATGGGGGAAGTGACCCTCCACGTTATGGGACTATTGTCCTATACTATATTATTCATCAAATGCATTAAATATGAAGAAAAAATAAAAAAATGACAAGTAGTATAGTGGAAAAAATAAATACACATTACATATCATATTTTTTTGTAAGTTGTAATGATTTTGACTATATAAAAGAAAAATGATTCACTGTGTTTGTTAATGAGTTTTGGAAAGAAAACATTTAAGGCGAAATACAGTCGTCCTTAAGGTAATGTCAAATTACGAAAAAAAACTCCTCCTACTTCGATATTTACAATCATCCCTTAATTATAGATTTTCTTATAAGTCCACCGGTTTGTATTCATTTTATCTTATTCGAGCTCCACATTTTGAAACAAGATAATAATAAGATGTGTCTTTTGGACTGTAAGTATCAGATTGTGGTGCATTAGAAACTGCATGTCTGCACAAAACGAGTATAAATTAGAGAACATTTCACGGAATCTAGAAGATTATGTTGAATTTGATGACACCACAAGGGTGGACGTGTAAGAAGGTTCATAGTTGAGTGGAATTTTGTAATTACCTAAACAAAATGACTTTTTTCGTAATCTGACATTACGTCGGGGGTGCAAGTGTAATTTAGCAAACATTTAAATTGCAGAAACTTACACGGCTGTTTGGTGTATTGAGTGATTTGACAATTAACACAAACAAAGTGTGTTTCCACAGAGTGACAGTGTGCGCGTACTCACGTGTTGTTTTGTTTCAGTCTTCTTTTTATTTTTCTCCAAAAGTCCAATCTTTCACACTCTCTTTTCATCAAATAATTAAATAAAATTGGTCAATTTTAACAGTCTTAATCGTATTTTTATTTTATAATATTAATTAAAAAATAATAGAATCTCAGTGACAAACAATCTAAATTAAAGAATTTAACCATAGGCTAAAAAATAAATAAATATCTTTTTTTTTTTTTTTTTTTGCAGTAGTGTTCAATCCTACTTCTCCTAGAGAATCGCAAAATTGAATAATTTTTATTTGGGAATTTTCTTGGTACGTTCAACAGCCAATCCCATCATCACACAATAAAAATTGAAAAAAGAGTATCTCATTTATCAAGGGTAATTATTGTCAAATAATTTTTACTCAACATTAATATTTGTGCAAATGCACTTCACCCCTTTAAAAAGTGTTTACTTTGCACTTCCTCCCTTGAAAATATACAATTTGGTGCATTTTGCCCCAAATATGTATTTTTGGTCTACTTCTTACCGAATAAAGAGTGTATATGTTATTTTATATCTTTCGCTTGAAGATCCTCCTTTCAGAGTTACTTAGCGTTCCCAAATTAACAAAATTTTCTTCCCAAATTGATTAAATTCGTATCCAAATTCGACAAAATCTGTTCTTTGTTCTTCGTAATCATTTTAATGTACAGTGAAAAAGGTTTAGTGACATTTAAAGCCTGCAGCGACGAAATTATCCTTCAATTTACTCAAATCCAACAAAAATTAAACTGAAAATACACATTCGGGGCAAAGTGCACGGAATTGTATATTTCTAAGGGCGACACTCGTATTTGTATTTTAAGGGGGGGAAAGTGCTAAAAGGCCTTTTTTTAGGGGGTGGAGTGCAATTTGCCCTTAATATTAATTAATTAGTCTATTGGTAATCAAAGAAGGATGAGTTTACCGATTACCTTCTCGCGGCGTAATTGTGTGTTTCTCTCTCTAGAAAATTGGGAGCAATTAATTAATAGGAGAGAGAGAGAGAGAGAGAGAGAGAGACGGAAATGAACGTGATTGGGTGTGGGGAGGCCCAGGCTAGAGGCGGTGGGGTGCAGGCACAGAGAATCAGAAGCACTAAATGCGAAGTCAGAACAGAACGTCGTCGTCGCGGATACCGAGACAAGCTTAACCATAACCATGCAACCACATTCTTTGTATTTTTACTCTACTTAATTTCATTTCTCTAATTAAATATTCAAATGCTAATTTTGAAATGGTGGGGGTTATTTATGTAATTTATTGTTGTACTAATTGTGTAATTTGATATAAATTTAATCTTTTAATTATTGGTGTTAGCATAAAGTAAATTATTATTGGTGTTTTAATAACACAACTGGACCTTGGATGTGGTGAACGTCTTGGTTTTAGCATTTTTTACCAATAAAAAAATAACTATATAATAAAGCAAGGACTTTTATTTTTTTTTTTTTTTTTTTTTATAATTCTTCACTCTTAATATATTTGCCATATAGTGTAATTGGTGCTTCATTGAATTTTAGAGTATTAATATATTTCAAGTTAAAAAAAGATTTATTTTTAAATAAAATAATAAATTGCAAAATGTTGAACTTATCATGTTTAGGAAGGCCATAGGCCCATAGCAATTGTTAAGCAAGACCACATGGATCTGCCTTTGACCATACTCTAGTGATAAAATATTTTATGGATTATTCATTTACTTTATATATAAATAAATGCAAATTTTTTAATAAACCCGAGTTCGAATCCTCTTGTCAATAGTTGATAGGTCGAACTTGTTGCATACAATTAGCCTGGTGTGGTATATGCGTCTCTCATATTTTTATTATACGAGGGTGTATGTTTACGCAGTGCAGCTATTTATGGTGTGGTATATGCGTCTCTCATATTTTTATTATACGAGGGTGTATGTTTACGCAGTGCAGCTATTTATTGGCTGCGAGTTTCATTATATTTATAACTAATAAAAATAAAAAATACTGGTTTATGTCCTTTTCTAGTTAAGTAACGTATAATTAAAAGAATTGTAATGTGATCTCCAAGACCCACCTCATTTTTCCTTTTGACTTCTTTATTTTATGGAAAATTTTGCTTTCATCTTAAAAAATGATTGATTATTGTCCTTATTTATGCCAAAATCAAACCAATGGTATATTTTAGTCCAATTGGGAATATCCCAATACACCTGATCTAGACCCAAATAATAAAAATAAAATAAAAAATAAACCAAAAAAAGAAAAGAAATAAAAAAGAAGCAAAAAGACATGTGATGTGGACACTCACCAAAAATAATAAATTCTAAAATTTAAATTAAATTAATATGAACAAGTGCCACTCACCTTCCTTTTTTTTATCTTTTTCTTAGTCCCATTTGCATAAGTTTTGTGGAATAAAGACAATTAGGATGGTTTCAAACATCACACATAAATAATTAATTGTTTTTGGAAATAAAAGATTATCTAAAGATAGTAAATTGACATAAAGAAGCCATTTTGCACATGACAACCCATAGAATAGAAAAGATCCCGTAAGAGATCGTTTATTGGTTGTAGCAACTGAGCTTATGTTAGTTGACTCAAATTCAAATTTTTCTTTCCAACGGTCGTCAGGTCGAACTTCTCACACGTGATTAACCTAGTGTCACATTTGTCGTATAATTTGCAATCTATATACGAAAATGTAGATTTACTCAATGCAGTTTGTTGCGGGTTACTTCCATCGAAGTTTTGGCATAGCAACTGATGGGGATGGATAATTAAAGTAAAGCATCATATTAATTAGGTTAAATCACATGGATAACCATGATGGTGAATTAAATAATACCAAATGGCTCCAAAAAACTAATACTATAGTTTAATTATATAGCTAATTAATTGTATTAATCCAATGCAAATGATGATAGGTATAGTGGTTGAAATATTCTCTCATATATTATTGTAGCACAACATGTTGTGAGGTCCTATAATCCTCACCAACAAACTCAATAATTACATAACAAAAGGAGTATACCACAAAATATTTAATACTTAAGACCTCGAAAAGCATCTTCATTTATTGATGAAATAATAACCCTATTTCATATATATTCACTAATATTTTACATTTTTTTTCAATATACTACTATTTTACAAAAGCAGTGGAAGAAGCCAAAAGAAACACAAGTGTTTTGGTCAAATTTGGGAAAAGGGCTTGGTGATTTATATTTTAATTTCTTATTTTTTTTATTAATTAATATAATTATGCACTAAAGATACCATAATGTTGAAAAGTGACCAAGATCACTAGTAGTGTCCAGACTTATGAGATTCTATATCTAATGAAATACATCAGGTTGTTTTAAACCGTCGATTAGTATATTTCAACAGGTGTAAGTTCTACAAAACCGTATGTTCCGTAATTTTACTCGAAAAATATTGATCATTAATTATTTAATTTGCACAAAAAAAAAAAATAGCAGTGGGCCCTTAACCTCAAATTGAAATTTAAAATAGCAAGATTACAATGAATAAAGATGAGTGCGACAATAAAATTTGATTGTAATAAAAAAGGTAAAGATGAATTAGAGAGATTCCAAGCACTAAGGTTTTGGCTGTGCTTACTAATTTTATAATTAAGTCCAGAAAGAAAGGCATAATATTATTGCTGCCCCTAACTTTTAGGACCAAATAATTTCACTTTAACAAAACCTTGCTTATGATGTCTGCCTACTTCTGTCTTTAACAAACTTACTTAAAAAGAAAAAAAATCTGATTTTTTTTAATTGTTCAATGTTCTTAAGAAAATAACACATTCCAAGAAATCACAATAAAAACAGAGTACACATAAACCTTTATAAACTAATATAGTCGGGACTAACAAAGTGTATGCATTATATCTTTTTCAAGTGTAGGCATTATATCTTTTTATAATGTAATTTATTATTTAATTATTGAATTGATTTAATCAAAATAGTGCACATATGATAATTTACAGCAATAAAAAGTCTAAAGTTAAGATGTAAAATGTTAAGTGATGAATATGATTTTAAAGTTTTTTTTATAGCAATACATACATGATTAATAATAAGAGAAGCAAAAGGATTCAATGCAAATGCAATATTAATAATATAATAGGTATTGAGCAATGAAACGTGGCAGCTTAAGAAACATATACATACATGTATGTGTGTGTGTGATCCAGAAATGTGTGTACTGATTGAGATATAGACATAATAGTACTAGTTGAAGTGAATTAATGCAAGAAAATGAGAACCAAATTATAGCATGCATGCTTCTGACAAGCATTTAATGTCACTGTACGTACTGATTTGTATATTTTGTATACTCAGAACTTTGGGACAATTAGATTAATGTAATTACAATAACGGCTTTCTTTTACTTATCTTCAATAATTTGATCTGTATGTATGTATGTCTCTAAAGCCAACTTTCTCTGTCGGTGGTTACAATTTTTTTTTAACTTTAATTATCTTCCAAGCGTTTTAACTAGCACCAAAAAATGAACCCTTTTTTATTTTTTATTTTTTTAAACATATATAGTACTGCAATATTATAGAAAATCATTCTTGTGAATTGGATCAAGCAAAATAAGAAACTAAAAACCTCAATGAAAATTAATATATATATATATATATATATATATATATATATATATATATATATATATATATCACATGATTCATCATTGAATGAATTTACCGAATGCTTGAGTCTCAAATACAAAAATCTCGTAATTTTGTGAACAATCTAATGTACGGTTGAACTCACCCAAAACTATCCCGGCCCTCAATCGATCAACATTAATTTTGTCACGTAAGATGTTGTTATTGTTGAACATCATTGATCTAGATCATGTGCCTTACTTAAGGTGGAGTGCAGGCAGTGCAGCTGATCAAGGAGGAACAAGTAACTGACTTGCTGAATTGGAGCTGAGGTGTCCACGTGGAATAACCACAAACACACACGTTATACACCGATCGATCGAGTCCTCAAGTAGTCAGCAACCAACACTACATTGTGTATTATAAATAGGCAGACTTTGTTGTGTAGACTATAGATTGAGAGTGTGACTGTGTAGCAAAAGAGATACAAGATTGTGCGAGTATTTGGTTTGGCCGAACTACTATAAATCTGTTCTTCTCTATTCGTGTTTCAATTTCGTGTTTAGAAGCCATTTCTAGGGTTTTCTCTATGTTTTGGAATCTCGGAGAATATTCGATAACCATAATGACTGAAAAATAGGTATTTTTAGAACAAAATAACACAATACAGAGTTTCAAGAGCAACCAATCCAAAAAAGTAGTTCATATATATATTAATAGAACATATCTAACAAGTATTAGACCACACACATTCATCAATAAAAAGTAGCCTTTGTCCCAACATAGGAAGTATGATCTTCACAAACACTTGGTACAAACTATGGCGCCAACTAAAAATGGGAGATTAATTAATAAGGGTAATAATAAATTAAACATAAAAGATAAAGATGTACACACATAATCCATGCAAAATAAAGCATATATAATTAATTATAAAGAAGACCAGAAGAGACATCTAAAACATGATCCCTGACTCCAAAACGAGCCTTTTACGAACGCAGCATTCCTTGTAATTCAATTCTAGTTCCGGTTCTTCGATTTCTCCAAAGCCCTCGGAGCTGTAAATTTAAATGAAATATAATAAGACAGATTTTCGCATCATTAGTTATAACAATAAAAGCTATAACTGGAATATGTTTGTCGAGAACTAAAAAAAAAAGAATAAAATCATCGAGCAGCAATAAATGCTTACCTAATCCGATTGCATCAGAACCTTTCATAATTTTGAGTCTCTTGCATGAAGAAATGAACATCCTAAGACAGCAACAATTATCAGTAACATAGTCGATGCTGAGAATCAATAATTGAATCGGAGATGAAATTATTAAAAAAATAAAAATAACCGACTATTCGTTTGTATGAATGAATCTGTGTAATATAATACTTGGTTGTTAAATAATAAGTGGCATACTACTTTTCGGATTGACTACCCTGCAACTCTGTATTCAGACAATAATTTCCTACTTCTTGTAAGGTCACATTTCTCACTAACCTTATACAACAAAATTATTACAAGGAGTGCACTAATGCAGCAAATATAGGGCTGAACCCATAAAGGAAGAACAAAGAATTTTAATCAGTATATGTAGGATTAGAAAATCGACGAATTCATACAGTTGCTCGACTTCATATCTGAGCAAGGACAAGAATAAATTCACAACAAAAGGTCAATTGATTTTGTGCTCGAAATGCAATCACAAATGAAGGTATCAAAATAATTAGAAAATAGTAGTGGTTTAGGGAAAAGCTTTGAACAAAACCAATAATAGGACTGATCTTATAAAAGAAATAAAATTCAAACAGAAATCAGACAAAGATATTGCGAATCTAATCATATGCTTCCGATTTATTTTGAAAAAAAAAATAGAGAATAATAAGAAAATAATGCGAGTGCCATTGCCCCAAGAAGCACAAGCTCCACTAAAATGAGACATGCCTACCTTAGAGAAGGAATTTTATATCAACAAATTCTGCTCGGTTATAATAAACACCATTATCTAAAACGAGAGTGATAAAATAAAACTTACTCCCACGGAACATCTCCAACAAGCATCCAGTCACCATCTTTATCCTCGTACGTCAGCACATATTCCGATCCATGAAGAATATCCCTCAACTTACTCTCGCTCAGCACTTCCCTGCTCGGAGCTCCCTCGGGCCCACATTGTCCTAAAAAACCAGAGAACAACTATTACTTATTCACCACTACTAAAATATTAGATGCAAATAACCCACATTGCAAAGAACATCATTTATTTTGTTTTACCTATGGTAAAACAGCTGAACATTTTCTCGAGAGCAGAGGAAAGTTCTTGATAAGTAGCACAAGTTCTCAAATCCACCTTCCTTAGATAAGGAGCACCGTCCATGCTAACCTTAACGAAAATGACATCATCGTTTTTCTTTGAGGTTGTCGCGAGAGTATTCTTCCGGAAAGATCTAATTGGTGGCCAACCAACAACCTGTGCCCTAAAACACACAAAAAAAGGAGATTTTTCAAGAATTATCCACATATATATATTTTCTTGAATTTAATTATCCTCAATTAGTACTTACTTAGCAGATGGTGCACTGCTTATGTTAGAACCATTTATCTTGTTGTTATTGCACTCTTGTGATGCGACTTCGGTTTTCGTGTGAGTGCCAGCTGGCCTGCTGGAAAAGGCGTTGACAGTGTCGGCAAACCCTCGTTTGTTTCCGGAAGAGAATATTCCATCCTTGGAAGGAATCAATGGAAACAACTGCTTCTCGTCGATCAGCGGTGAAAATTCAGATTCTCGTCCGGGTGAGTGGGACCCAGGAAGACCGAGCCTTAGTTCAGTGGCCTTGAGGTTTAAATTGCTCTTGGGATCCGCAGGCACAGTTAACATTACCGTGGAGCTGTCCACGGAGGAACAATCGGATAATCCGAGATAATTGCGTTCTTTCAGACAAGAGACGTTTTGGGAGACACAGTCGGTCGAAGACGAAGAAGCCATCGGAGAAACATTGGCCTGATTATGCCCCTCGATTCCCAACAGTGGTGGAGACATCAAGTTTGATTTTGTGTAATCGTTCGAATATCTGTAAAATCGAATAAACTCGTTTCGAATCACATAAGCACGATATACAATATATATACTGGATAATGATCATCATAGGGCACAAATGCTATATCACACCACATAAAAAATACTAGAAGATACAATTTTAATGACCATTACGATAATTTTTGGTACGAAACCCTGTTTCTTGCCGGAGATTAAAAACAGAGCAAGCAAATTTTCTTCAGAGTACATACATTTTTTTTAACAAACGTTTAATTAACCTAAAACCGTGTTAATTACAAAAAATAATATTAAAAAAAATCAAAACAGGCATTAGTTTGCATGAAAAATGAAAATTAATAGAAAATACTATTAAGCATAAATAAGAACATCTTCGAAGATCAATCACCAGGCAAGGGAAAAAAATCAGCGATGAAGATTTTTACAAGGATAAATAAGAAATATATAAAAATTTAAAAAATTAAAAAGGTAGAATAATCAAAGAAGATCCAGAACAGTAGCTGACAACCACACATATAGTGAAATACAGTGGAAAAAAATCCCCAAAAAGAAAATTTTAACAAGATCTGTCAATATACTAGCAAAATGTAAAAGCTGAAATAAATAATTTAAAAAAAATAAAAAAAACAGAAATTCCTCTTTGTGAGGTGGTATTGCATTTTACACAACAAGAACATACCTGAAGATCAATTAACAAGTGCGCCGTAGCAACAAAGGAGAGAGGTTTTCTGTGAAGAAAAATTGCAGCTGAATTAATTTTTCAAGTCACCTCCATTCAAGCTAGAAGACTGAACTAGAGAGAGAAAATAGATTTTTAGAGAGAGAATAAAATTTGGCGAGTGAGGGGCAAAGATGGGATGCAGTTGCTGATAAACATTTATTCTTTTGTCCCGAGGATTTGATCAACGGCTGAGATTGAACTTGTGAAATTGAATCCTAGCCGTTAAAGACTGAGCAGAGGAAAATATAATTACCTGTCGTTGTTTGCAGGTTGGTAAATGGTGACAGCCAATTATGCCTTTTTACAGTATCTTCAGGACAGTGTTCTGCTTCTTTTGCTTTAAAATATTTATAGGAAATGACTAATTTGTCCTTGCGTAATTTGTGTGATGACGAATTTGCCCTTCGTCCGGCCCTTTTTGACTGTGCGAACGAGTCTTTCTTTTGGAAAAAGGCATTTTATGATGCTCAGTAAATAATAATTACAAATATATATATATTATATATATTAAATATTAATTATGATAATAATGAAAGGGAAAGGGTGAGAGTCACGCAAAGGGCATTTATTTAAGAGGAGAGTAGGATTAGGGAGGGAAAATAGGGGACAGAGAAAAACATGGGTTGCCCAAAACTACTGTTTCTTTTTTAGGGAACAAGAAAGCGGCAATTTGCTTCAATTGTCGGTGGTGGGCCCCACCCCCACCCCCTCTTTTTCGCCGTAATTACCCTTTTTCCTTTTTCCAATTAGTACTCGATTATGTTTAATTAAATTTAAGTAAGAAGGGTTAATATTATTAAATATCTATTTAGTTTGGTGGCAGAATGAATCATTAGTTGCCAGCTTATTTTCGCACGCTTACTCGCTCTGTGTTTAACACATCATCCCAATATCTGGTTTTATTGAATCACTTTTTATTTTATTTTCTTTTGGATCACAAAACACTTTTACCTTCTAGGTTTGAATTGGCCCGATTTCCGCTTATTCTTGAAATAAAATTATATTTGTTAAACTTTTCGGTTTGCACTTCAATTTATTACGGAAGAAAAATTTAATCGACATGCTTTGGCTGCTACAATACTGTTCGTTTGACATTTTAAAAAGAAAAAAACAATTACAAACAAACATCACTCTATTTTTATATTCTTTACTTCAGACTCTCGCAACCAATCGCATTTAGGAAATATTTGAAATATAAAATTTCTTTTACAATATATAAATAATATAATTCTATTTTTTTTCAAGAAAAAATCAAGCCAAACATAGCCTAATGCACTATTGGATTTCGTATTTAATACTTTTCGACAATCATAAAATTACAATACACATATTACACTCTCAAAACATCATAAATCGTTCACATATATTATGCGTCCCATTTTTCTCCAAGAGAAATTATTGAGATTAACTAGTTTTATTATATTTTTCTTTTGGGGTGATGAATGAATCCGCAATCAACTATATAAGTGCAGTTGATAAACTTACACTCTCATACAATAGTGTGCAAACAATACGCATACGAGTTTCAGTAGTATTTAATCTTGATGTGAAAATGAGATGTAGGTATTGAAATGATTAGAAGTTGAATGGGAATTAAATTAGTGGGAGTGGGATTATGATAATTGATAGGTACCATTGGCCACATTAAAAAATTAATGTGGGGTTTAGCCACGACAAAGGGACCCAATTGCCGGTGACCTTGAGAACTCTAACCATGGTTAAGTAATTAACTACCCACGGTCAGAAACTGATTGCACAGTACAGCTCCCCATTTCCTGGTCATCCAATAAGAGACTGCCACGTTGTCCTGATGTGCTCTAGGTTTAAATAGCCATGGCTTCTCTGACACACTAATTGGATGTAAATGAGGTCCATTTTAATTTACAATATTTATGCATTCACCAATTTTGTTGAGTTACAATTGATATTATTCTGAAAAGAATTGATTTCAGATCCAATTTTGATCTTTGAAAATAATTTTAAGAATTATGATTTTTTTTATTTACAATATTTAAATAGTATATTATTGTATTTATTCATGTTATAGCTGAATAAAGAAACACAATTGCATCCCATCGTAGTGTTACACATAACGCAATGGTTTAGTTAAAAACTTATTTAAACTTTGGAAGCCCACTTGTCAAAAGCCCATTGGCCAAGTTCAGCTATTCAGAGTATTGTCCCAGTAGGCCTCATTTATATGGGCCCAATTGACCAAGAAATCTATATTGGAAGAAAACGTTGTATAAAGCTCGAATGCAGCTCCGACTAAAGACCGTCTCATTCACTACAACTGTTAAAATCTATAAAATGGCCCCACATTCGGCATATGTAAGCGTCGGATGTGACCATATACGGCCCAACTTCAGAATCGTAGGCGGAAAACATTTACCATGATGGGATTGAAGAAAGCCCAACAACTAACGAAGGCCTGCTTAAGGCAATTAACAGCAACCACGAAGCGACCCATATCATAGTAAGAGGAAACAATCCGTGTTTAGCAAGTAAAAAGAGCTCGCAGCAAGTCACGTCGCTTTGCACGTGCATCGTGGCCTGATAAGATAGGGGTCCCACGAGACTTATTTCTATGGCATGCATAAATACAGTAGTGGAAGGTAAGGTAAAGGGGAGAGAAGTTCATCCTCTAAGAAATATTATACTCAGTACATCATTCTTTAAGATATATCTTGGTTTCCACTTCATCCGACTGACTTGACCGTTAGAGTATTAACGCCGGGAAAACCTTATCCGACACTTCTTTTTATCGGACTCCTGAGGCAGTTGAGTTCTTTGTTGAACGAATTTTCTTTTGCTTTCGGGCACTTCTTTATTCCCAAGGCCCATTTCATTTTGTTATTACTATTAAAATGTCATTTAGGCCTCATCACTTGTCTTAAAAGAAATCGGCCCATGTTGGCCCATGTCGGCCAATGTATAAATTATATCCAAAGAGATTTATGAGTAATCTTTTATTTGAATTTTCCAAAAAAAAAAAAATCACTTTTAACGTGGGTAATAGAGAATGTATCTACTAATAAATAAATAAATAAAAATGAAAAATATAAAATGTAAGCATAAATGTAAGTGCACCATACGCAAGACAAAAGAGGAGATAGGACTTTACTAAAAATAGAAAAAAAAAAAGAGTAGCCGCAACATACACTATCGAAAAAGCAACACATAAAAATACATTTTGAAGTAATAAAAGCAGCTAAGCAAACCACTATATATTCACACCATTCATGGGTACGGGTCGTTTACGATTTCACATTTGGTACCCATATTTATAAAAATTACATCTAGTCTCTCATATTTTAATAATTTCACATTTTTTGTTATTTTTATCAATTTATCGTTAGTTCCTCAGTTAAGGCAGTGACGATCACACGCTTGATTTCGTTAGTACTAACGAAAAATTGACGGAACAGACTAAAAATGTTGATTTTTTAAAACTTGAGGGACTGAATTTATTTTTTATTAACAAGGAAGACCAAAAATGAAATCGAGATAAATTTTGTTTTTAAATTTTTTTGTATACTTGTGGTGCACACCAGCTCATGTACCTATAAAACCACGGCGAGCAAGCAACTGATTAAGCTTATCGATTTGTTTGGCTTACGTCAGAGATATATGCACTAAAAAAAGAAATAATTATGCTAGCTAATCAAATCTTTTTCTTTTGCTTTATTAAAATCTGGAGTAGCCTTTTTTTTTTTTTTTTTTTTTTTTTTCTGTTCAATAAAATTGCAATTTATTTGTGGACAACCTTATTAATCAAATCTACTTTTGCCTTAATTTTCAAAAGTTATGAAGTATTTACTTAATTGCTACAAATCCAAAAATATAATCAAAAAAAAAAAAAATCGACGTAGTCAAAACTCGACTTCTTGGTCCGCATTAATTTATTAATATCCCAATTGGATCGGTATTCTAAAAAATGTACGCGATGGTGAAGAAACTCTTGATCTGGATCTTTGGGTTTGGGCCCATTAGAAAACGTAAACGGGAAAGAAAAAAAAACACAAAATTTGTATCGACACCCAAAAATACGAAAAAAACACAAAATTTCAGTCACTATGTCAGTGGATTAAGGTAAAAAATTTGTACCGACCCCCAAAATGGAGTATGTTTTGATCTAACTCGATTTTTATGTTATGCCTTTCATTTAGGTAAAATTTTAATGCATTCGACTCCTCCGAACTAAAATCCGACTCTTCCGGCAATCTCTATCTATATCTCTCTCTCACACACACACACAGAAAGATATAATAAAATATAAATTGATTATAAAATATAATAATTAATTAAAATTTTTATAAAATAAATATATGTATATTTATGTTTAAATTTATATATATATAAATATATAAATATAAAAAAAAAAATTAATAAAATATTTTTTTAATTATTTTATTATTTTTTTTATTTTTTTAATAAAATATATTAAAAATAAAAATATATATATATATATATATATATATATATATATATATATATATATATATATATATATATATATATATATATATATATATATATATATATATATATATATATATATATATATATATATATATATATATATATATATATATATATATATATATATTATTAAATATAAATTCATTTATTTCAAATTAAAACTTTATCTATAATTTATTTTTATTTTCGAGAAAATAAGACCATCTAGTAAGCATATTGTTAATGAAAGATTAGTTTTTTCTTCCTTCACTTTTTTAGTTAAGCAAAGAAATGGTGTTGGAGTAGAGAACAATTAATGATTTAACTAATAGATCACTAATCACTTCATTTTGTTAATTAGATCCAATATTTGACATGAGGTGGAATTTCACATCATTTATGAAGTATTGATATCACATCTCAACTGACTTATCAATCACAATGTTATCTAATATATATATATATATACTAGTCTTTACTAAGTTGTGAAGTTATGATTATTTACTTCAACTTATAAGGATTTAAGCTAAATATCTAATCCAATTTAGTATCGTTTATACAGTTCAACATTTATAAATTAATACACTTGAGATTCAATTTTTTTTATTAGTTAATAAAAATTATCGAACTAATAATTTAGTACGTTTTAACGAATCGGTAACGAAAAGTATTATTT